GGGCGACTCTCGTGTCGCAAAGTATCGCATGATGTATTTGGCGCTGACCGTCTTTCCGGCTCCGGATTCACCAGAGACGACAACGGTCTGGTTCTTCCCGTCTCGCAACATGTCGCTGCGGAGGGTTAGTGGCTGCCACGGCGGGTATGGGGAGCGGGGAACTCACGCGAAGGCCTCTTCAGCAATGGCGAACAGATGCGGAGCGCCATACGATCTCTGCTTGCCAGCGTAGACCTGTACCATGCCCGGTACGTACAGCGAGTCGACTCGCGCAAAGGGATTTGTCGCGATGAGGACGATACCGGAATATGTGTAGATCTCCTTCTGCAGGTAACGCAGCTTGATGGCCTGGAGCACTGCACTCTCGTCAGTATGCCATGTTTCCCACGCAGATTGGACGGGCCGTACCAGCCGGCTCGTTGAGATGTGACAGGTTGGTAAGGTCATCGCTGGCCTCGAGCATGGCCGGGTTCATCAGCGGCGGGAGATTGGGATCATTGCCCGTCTGGATGGCAGACAGCGTCGTCTCGACGGTTTTGGTCTGCGCAGTGAATCATTGTCAGCCGCCGTGTCCTGCAACAGTGCAGTGTCCTCTTGGGTGGGCGTACCTCGCCATTCTCCAGCGTGAAGACCAACGTCACTTTGTCTCCCGCAATCTGCTTGTCCGTCACCTCCGAGGCAACCCAGCCCTCGGTGGTATCGGGCTGCCACGCCCGGGTGCCGATGTCGTAGATGTGTGCCATGGTGGGTGGTTGTGGTCCTGCTTTCTCCCCCTCCAAATGGCGGTGCGGAATCAGGGTCCAAAGGCGGCTCCCTGGTGGTGGACAGCACGCTCAGCTCGCTAATTCGGTGCGGTCGCTGGCTTCTTCGTGGGCGTTGTCGTGGGCGTTGTCAGCGTGGGATATCGCTGCAGTCACAGGGCTCGATGCATCCCTAAAGGAGAGAAGTGCAATCGTGTGGGCGAAGATATGCGAACTGCTGCCCGCCGTGTTGTCGACTTTCTCTGGTCACGCTAATCGCCTCTCACCGCCAACATCCCGCCAGCCCGCACAGACCTCCTCCAGGGGGCCGAGCCAACCACCACTGCTCAACCTCTTGGAACCACTGGAACCGCGCACACAGGCGTCTCACCATATGCACCCCCTCACAAACGCACGCAAAATAGCCTCACCAGCCTGCGTCGGATCGGCATCCTCCCTCGACACTTCTGGAGCAGCCTGTGACGTTGCTCGTCTTTCCTACGTGCTGCGTACCACTCCCAATGCATGCCAGCATTCTTACTCGCACTGTCCCGTTCTCCACTCATGTCATCTAAAGCGTCAGTCCTTCCCCAGAGTTTATGCAAGTAGACTCCTTGCAAACGTTTCGCCCCTCGGGAATCTGGCTTCTCCCACATCCGTTCTTACTTGACTGGGCTGCCTGAAACGTGCCGCCTCACCATGATACGTGGGCGTCAACACCTCATTGTTCTTCAACATTGGGAAATCTAGAGCACCAACGTTCAACGTGTTGACCGATCGTCAAAGAGATGGCTGGGAGGTCATGGCTCAGCTGTATCCACTACGTGACTGTGCACTTGTACACCTGTCTACGGGGCTGTCACCGACTCCACGAGCTCGCTACCAGTAATTAATTACCGCTGTATGAGACCAAGGATTTTGATGGAATGACTAAGTTGAAATGTTCGAACATGTTCATTTAAACTCGTGGACGTAGCTGCGTTATGAGAGGCTCTACAGGCAATTGCCTAGTTGTCTTGAAATGGAAGACCAGAGGGGCAAATGGACGATCACGTGCCATAGTGCTTATCCATGAATCATTCTCAACAGGCGGCTGCAGCCTTCCTGGTCACCTACGAATACTGCAGCACTGCAAGACGGGAAACAACATACATGCTTAGCAAATACTTTGCCCGTTGCGTAGAATGCAGTAAAAGCGAGCTTTTTGATCTTCCGAATACCTATCCCCTCTACCTATCATGAGCGACATGATCAAAACGATCGGTATCCTTGATCATGGACCTGGGCAACTCCATTCGGAAAAGAGCCATACTTGCGACCGATGTTTGGCAGCATGGTCAAAAGTACCGTTCGACGAGAAAAGTGCGGATATTTGCGAAATTGGAGAGAAAGCAGAAGAGCTTTTGTCGTCGGCTTGTCAGGTGTGCCAAATGCTTGGGATGGAGATGTTGGCCCACCAAAATCAAACGCATAGCTTGGAGGGGCCTTTTCTATTGCGTTGGCAACGTGAGAATCAGGACTTTGGCGCGGCTGTCCTTCAAGATTCAAATGGTATCATAAGAGGGAAAAGTAGGCAACCTAGAACCATACATATTCGGTATTCTGAGTTTTCAGAGTCTTTAGAAGCTGATGGTCTGGAAGAACACGAAACCCCCGAGGGATTACACGTTGATTTTGGTACAATTAGAAGCTGGCTCGACAAATGCGATTCGCATCATCAGTGTAAATCTGATATAGACGAAGAACCGCAGAATCTAAAAGTCATCGACTGCGTAGAAAGAGTTGTCGTTTCAGCACCTCTAGACTGCCAATATGTGGCTTTGTCGTATGTGTGGGGTGGCTTGGTCGTCGAGACAGACTTGAAATCCGGACTTCTGCCTACCATGTTGCCTCGTACTATAGAGGATAGTATCAAAGCTACCCTACTTATAGGGTATCGGTATCTTTGGGTTGAGTGAGTTTTTCTGCTCTAGTCGTTCAAGAAGTCTGAGCTAATATAACTCACAGCGCTTTCGTAAGTACTACGCCTAGCAAGCAAGCGTGTCTAATACAAGTATTAGTGTATAAAGCAAGATGATGCAGAGGACAAGCATCGTCAAATTCAACAGATGGACTTGATATACACCTCAGCGGTGCTCACTCTGGTTGCTGCAGCAGGCAGTAACCCCTCCTATGGCTTACCGGGCGTAAGTAATGCGCGAAGGCTAAGCTATAGAGCTTGGACTTGTATTGGAGATGTGCGGGTTACATTTAGCCCCGACGAAGTCTACCGTGCTGTTGCCGATTCCGTGTGGTTCACACGGGGGTGGACATTTCAGGAAGGCTACGTTCCGCGAAGAAGACTATACTTTACCGAGAGCGGGGTCTTGTTCATTTGCAACGAAGCAGAAGAACAAGAAGACTTTCATCGTTCTCGTGATCGTTGGGGTGCCAGATTACTCGATGGTACCTTGGGAACACGTCCCTTCGGAGTTAGGGACGAGTTGCCCGGGCTCCACGAAACCCTAGGATTGCTGGAGCAGTACATGGAACGTCAACTCAGCTACGAAAATGACGCCTTGGACGCGATGCTGGGCGTCCTGAACTACCATCATGCAAGAAACCTGTCTATTGGAACCATATGCGGTCTACCGTACCAAACATCGATGGTCGGCCCGAATACCATATGCTTAAGTTGGAGACACGACAAACCTGCTACCAGGCGACGAGGATATCCTAGTTGGTCACCACTTGGTTGGATTGGATCTATTCAGTTCTTCAGCCCAGATCATCAATTCTTTCCATCGAAGAAGGACGCTGACATCATATCTCACCACTTTCGAGATGGCTGTGCGGCGTGGAACAATCTCAAGACCTCAAAGTACTTACAAGTCGCCGTCAATGTTCATAATCTTCCTATAGTAAACTTAGTACGGTCGGATTCGGAAACTTTCGAAGGTTTGCTTTCAGACCACCCGAGAACAGTGCTGGTGGTTCCTGCTGGCACTGGCGAGAGTAAGGTGGATTACGGAGGCCTCAATTATTACATGGACGTTAAGTGGGATGCAACCCCACATGATCATTCCGACAGCACTTGTGTCACGTGCGTGGTCTATCAAAGTCATGAGCACTTTCAATGCCTGATGATAGTAAAAGACTGTGGAACACATTACGAACGTTTAGGGTTCGCGTCGGTCGGTGGCATGTTCTACCCGGACCTAATGAAAGCAGCAGGGTTCAACGAGTTGGCTTCTACTACTAATGGCCTACCAACCCTGCGCCCTAGGGAGAGTCCGAACTTTTATCGGGAACACAGCTATGACTCAAAGGATCTCGATTGGCTGCAAGACACAGAGAAAGTAACCATTACTCTCGGCTGAGATCGCTCTTCAATCAGTCCACTTCGCAACACAACAGCCTTCTAGACTACGCAATATACGTCCAAACGAGGGATCCTTTCAAGTCTCAGTTCTGATTTGCTTTTCGACTTGCCATGGTCAAATCGACACGTGGAGCGCACTGATCACTACCGTTTCGAGTGCTTCTCGTTCCGTCATCAATGCTAGAGGAACCTCATCATGTTCGCGCCATTGAACATATCACAGTTCCAGACTGTATCATGGTACTCATCACTGCATGGAAACGAATTCACTTTGTCGATCTGGGACGAGGCCGTGGAGCAGAGAGTTCATCGGAGAGCCTTAGAAAAGAGCGATTGACCGAACTGAGGGGGATGTCAAGAAAGCTCAAGGCGATAGTGTCAACGGCCTCGTTCTCTTCCGACTCCAATCTGTAGAGGCAGCTCCAGATCCTTCGCAGTCGAACTCTGACTCTTGCTCTCTTCCATCAGTCACCTTAATCCCCTGGAAACCTGACCCTTGTGCCCCATCCGTCTTCTCCTCAAACACCTCATTCATAGCGTGGGACGATGCTAGACTGAAGAAATTAAGAGAGGGTGATGAGATGGGGCGTGGCATGTGAGGGTTTGATGGAGCTGGTATAGCTACGTATTACGGCTATGGAGGGGGATGTGCATGGTGAGAAGTTGTGAGTTTATCGCAACCTCATGGCAGATACACAGGCATACGAACACCTAATATTAGACCGCTAGTAGTAGCCAATTAACGGTCTCCTGTAAGCGCGCTTTTTCCCTTAATGCTACATTACAAAAGTCATAGCGATTCAGGTTAAAATGGCAACTGGACCCTCTACCTACTTATTAAATCTCCTCTTGCTAGCGAGTGGCCATTTCTGTTCACGAAGTCAACCGTTCCATACACTATGCATCTACTCGATTTGCCAGTAGAGCTTTTGCACGAAATCCTTGGTTGGGCTATTTTAGTCCGGGGAATCAAGCGCGGCCTCCGGTTACGGCTTGTGAATAGTAGGCTTTGCTCTGCCGACTGTGCCATCTTCTGCTTACCAACGGCTATAGGGATCTTTGCTAGCGAGATTGTGGCTGCGCTTTCGCTATTGAAGCTTCTTGATACCTACTTCAAGCCCCTGCCCGTTGGCAGCGACGAGGCTGTACCTTCTATCGCTACAACGTATCTTGAACGCCGAGTGTTGAACGAGCGTCGCGGTGGGGCTCCTGTGCTACTCTGGATTCGCAGCGTCGCCAACCGACTAAGCCAAGAGACGGATGACGAACGAAACGAGTACGACTACGTTCGGCAGCTATGCCCTCTTGTGTTAGAAACATATAGCCTACGCGTACGCCTCGACGAGCTATGGACGGTGGACCAAGCCGTGGGATGGTATGACGGGCTTTTCAACGAGAGCAACTTAGAAACTGATGTCTATATCACTGCCGTATACACACAAACGCTCTCTGTTGTTTCCAGATGGATCTCGAGCAGAAGGGGTTTGGCGAAAAGCAGTCATCTCTTTGGTAGGGCACATCACCATGCGGCTCGGTACGGTAACCACGAGCTTCTTGCTGCTATGATGGACCTACGGTACGAGGATGACTTTCAAAGACTGCGAACATCCTTTCTCGTAGAAGCTGCCGAGTATGGGCGTGTAGGCGTGACGCGGTTCGTGTTGGATTTCCAGGCCGTAGAGCGTCCGTGGTTATTTTCAAGAAAGATTAAACGGCCGTCCTATCTCTCTTCTAACGAAAGAGAGCTAGCTTTGCTAAATACACCTAGTTGGGAGATTTTTAACGTGGTGATGGAGAAACGAAGGGAGCACTGCGTTAGCAGAACGTTTGGTATTAAGGAATACACAGGATTCTTGGCATATAGCGCAAGACATGGGTGGGTAGATATGACAGAGCGCTACCTTGCTCTTGGAGCGCGTGTAGACGGCCTAGGATTGTCTAGCGAGTACAGGCAACGACCCCTTCTAGGCGCTTGTAGAAACGGGCACAAGGACGTAGTTCAGGTGTTGTTAGAACATGGTGCGAGTGCGTGTAAGCCGGCGTTGGAGACAGCAGTACAAAATGGACATTTTGAAGTTGTTTCTCTGCTTCTGGAGTACAATGCGGAGCAAGGGAATGCACTTACGGAAGCGGTTTGCAAGGGGTACCGAAGCATTGTTCGTAGGCTAATAGGGCGTGGAAGCTACGACAAAGAATTTCTGCAAGGCTTGCTCGATCGGGCGGTTGAGATTGAGGACCAGGCTATGTTGGAAGATCTGCTAGAATATAGTAGAGGTGCTAGAGTAGGCAGAGTAGAATTCGGAAAAGAGGTCAAAAAAGAGATAGTTAAGAATAAAGCGTAAAAAGATTGCAGGCTGAATAAAGGTTGAAATATTTCGAAGAAAAAGGTTAAAATAACTATTACAACAAGAGTGACTAACTGAAGAAGAGTGAACAACTGAAGTAGTGGGAGTAAGTAAGCTAACCCTGTAACCGCTGTGTGTCGTAGGGTTAGGGCCAGAGTTGTGGTTAAGGACGAGGTTTCTCTTCTCTTCTTATCTCGTGGATCTCATGTATCTCATTCAGAATGCTAGTAATAAACAACGCAGTGTTGAACTCTACTTTTCTATCCCTGTTCTTTCCTAGCCAGTGTATATGCAAAATCAATCAGACGCCGTACGATAGCCTTGTACCCATACTTTTGAGGTCACGGATATGCGGCAGCGAACCCAAGATATCAGAAGCCGTATCGTTTTGATGTTGCTGAACGAGGTCAACCGAGGATGGAGAACGCTTCTGAGCATCCTCGTGTCTTTGTTCGCGATCCTGGGAAGGACTGTCCGCCTAGTACAGGACCCTGGTACGGATACATGCTGGATAAGGTTAGCTGTCAATTCGACAGTACACAAGGAAGTAGATGTAGACTTACAAGAAAGCTCCTCCAAGCTGGTAAACAAATCCCTAATCTCACCCTCCTTGACTTCACTGATATCCGCCATGAGGTATGCGACATCGCCTCTTGAATCGGACATTTGCTTCTCAATGTTGTGGTGGAGAAGGATACCGTTGACTTGTCTCAACACACCCGGTACGTTCTTGTGGATGTAGATGACACGCATGCAGTCTGGTTGGTCGAGAGTCAAGCTACGTAAATTGACTTCTGGCAAGTTGACGGCTCCGAGCGTGGTACCCTCGTTGACGTAGCGGACGAGTGCTGTGCTGACTTCGACACCAATGGCGGACTGCGCTTCTTCGGTGCTGCCACCAATGTGGGGAGTGAGGATGATGTTCTTCAGACCAACAAGGTCCTTAGTCCAGGAGTTAAGGTCGCTGGAGAAGTAGTCGCCGTTGCCGGCGGGTTCGTTGGGGAAGACATCGATGGCGGCACCTGCGAGTTTCCCAGAGCGGCTGGCCTCGATCATGGCGGGAATGTCGACAACAGTACCACGGGCGTTGTTGATGAGATAGCTGCCGTCCTTCATCTTTGCAAATTGTTCTTTGCCAATCAGGTTCTTGGTCTCAGAGGTAGCCGGAACGTGAAGAGAGACAAAGTCTGCTTGTGCAAGTAGGTCGTCCAGCGTCGCTACTTGTCGCGCAGTTCCCAGACCCATTGTGGTAAGAACGTCGTAGTAGATGACGCTCATGCCCATGGACTCAGCCAGCACACTCAGTTGGCTACCAATGTGACCATATCCGACTATACCCAGCGTCTTGCCGCGAATCTCCCAGCAGCCCTTGCTGACCTTGTTCCATGTGCCGTTGTGTAGTTCCATAGAGCGGTCGGCGAGCTGACGGGCGAGCGCGATGATCTCGGAGATGACGAGTTCTGCGACGGAGCGCGAGTTGCTGAAGGGCGAGTTGAAGACGGCGATACCCTGGCTGGCGGCAGTCTGGAGGTCGACCTGGTTTGTTCCGATACAGAAGCAGCCGATGACGATAAGGTTCTTTGCCTCCTCCAGCACCTTCTTGGTGAGCTTCGTCTTTGAGCGAATTCCAATGACGTGGACATCGCGAATCTTCTCAATCAGCTGGTCCTCTGCCAGACTGGCCTTGATGGCCTCGACCTGGTATCCCTGGCCCTTGAGAATCTCGACACCGGCTTCGTTGACATTTTCAAGGAGCAGGACCTTGATGTCCTTGGTATCGAAAGGCTTCAATTGCTTGGCGAGCTGTTGCGCATGCGAGCTGTTGGTTTGATTTTGGCTGTTGAAGCTGCCGCCTGGTGGTTGGCGGAATGTGGAGGGCGGGCTGTGGAAGGAGAGGTTTGGGCTGGTGCTGAGGTTGAGGCTGTTGGACACTTGACGTGCGAGTTGGCTGATGCCGCTGCCGGCAATGTCTTGTGCGGGACTCATGGTGTGTGCGCGGAGGTGGTTGCGGAGGTGGTTCGGGGGAGGGATGCGACAACTCAATCTGGTTGTTTGATCCGGAAAACGTTGGGAATTCTAGACTATTAATACTTAATGACTCTTCTATGGCCTTTACCAAACTGTGCAAGCTTGGACGAATCACAGAGCAATTGCAAGGCAGGTTCTAGGAAGTTGCGGCTAGGCATGACTGGCGGCAACAATGCACAGCAACAACAAACGCATGTGAGCTGATATCCACTTTTTCCAGAGTACTTGATGACTGTGTGCAACTAATTTTCCCTACAGTGACACCTACAGTTGACTCAGTCGGCGTTCTCTGACGCGACGCTCCTCAAAAATTTCTCATGTCGCCGATGATGCCATCCCGCTCTGGCCCTTTACCCCACCAGGAATACCTAGCTTACCAGCCCTCCGCTTTCGGAAGTCAAGTATGCAGGTCCAGGCACAAGTGCTTCGTCATGGAAAACCACTCACCACATATGCACGGTTGAGCGCTTTGATTCACGACATGGAGACGCCGTTGTATTCATTCATTATCTATTCTCTTGAATGTGCCTAAGTTGCTCACACTACCCTAAAACTCATATTCACTGTGATCCCGAGCATACCTTACCACAGGCATCCGTAAAGTGTAGAGCAGCCACCTACAACTTTTGCTCGTTCATGGGCCATTGGTATCCTGCAATCGTGTTAGCATTTTTCTTCTAGTTCGCTACAGAGGTGAGGTCCTACCTGCTGCGTCGCTGAACTTGTATCCGTAAGAAGAGGTGAAATCGTCCAAAACGGCAGGGCCACGGGAGCCTGATGATGGTCAGTAAATGTGCGCTTTGCTCTTCAATACAATACGAACCGTATGGGTACTCCATGGGGATGATCTCCTTGTTGTCGTCCAGGTAGTGCAGGAGAGGTGTGAAGATTCTCCAGCTGGCGTCGAGTTCGTCGTCACGGACGAAGTTGGAGTGGTCGCCCTTCAATGCGTCGAGAATGAGCGATTCGTATGCCTCAGGAATCTTCAGGTCGGAGAATCGCCGCCTGTAGGTAAGGTCGAGTTCTGTGACGACAGTCTGCATGCTGAGACCGGGCAGCTTGGAGTTCATCTTAATGTAAACACTCTCGTTGGGCTGCACTCGGATGACGAGCTCGTTTCGTGGAATGTCCTTGAAGATTCCAGAGGTGACATCCTTGAACTGAATGCGGACCTCGGTCTTCTGCTCGTTGAGAGCCTTTCCTGCCTTCAGGATGAAGGGTACACCGTCCCATCGCTCGTTCTTGATGTAAGCGACCATAGATGCGAAAGTGGGGCATCGCGAGTCCTTGGGGACTGTGTCATCCTCCTTGTAGCCTGGCTTCTGGCCGTCCAGCGACTTTCCATACTGTCCAATGATGACGTTCTTGGGCTCGATAGAGGCCATACCACGGAGAACGCGGACCTTTTCGTCACGGATGTCTTCGGCAGAGAAGGAGATGGGTCGCTCCATAGCGAGGAGAGTAAGAACTTGGAGCAAATCTGTGATTGTCAGTCATTGCTTCTTCCTACTATCAGTAAACCACTCACGGTTTTGCATAACATCACGAATGATGCCGAACTCGTCGAAGTAACCTCCACGGCCTTCAGTTCCGAACGGCTCCTTGAAGGTGATCTGGACGTTGTCGATGTGGTTCCTGTTCCAGGTTGCGCCGAAGAACTCGTTACCGAACCGGAGAATCAGGATGTTCTTGACCATCTCCTTACCCAGGTAGTGGTCAATACGGTAAAGCTCGTCCTCAGTCCAGTCTGGCGCCAATGCGCGCTGGAGCTCTCTCGAACTTGGGAGGTCCTTGCCGAAGGGCTTCTCGACCTGCATGACAGCGGTTAGCTGCATTCGTCCGGAAACATGCATAGGAGCTACTTACAATAACACGAGAAATGCCGTTCTTGGGGTAGCAGTTGCGCTTCAAGTGCTGGGACACTGTGATGAAGACGCTGGGAGGGAGAGCCATGTAGAATATCCTGTTGTTCTCCTTGCGACCCTTCTCAATCTCCTGCATGTGCTTCTCGAGTCCAACAAAAGACTCATCCTGGTCATACTGGCCCGAAACGTACGAGCAGAACTCGCAGAACTCATCTAGCTGCTTCTCCAATTCCTTTGTGGGGGTCTTGATGTAAGACTTGACGCGCTTGAGGTACTCCTCACGGTCCATCTTCGTGCGTGCATATCCGACAATGTGGATGTTGTTTGGGAGGAAGCCGTTTCGGTGCTGTATTGGTGGTCAGAAATCGAATGCGAGTCTTGGTCGTGCAACCTACGAGACCGAAGAGCGCTGGGAACTGATATGACGTTAGTGTGATGATTCTCTACGTATTTGCTTCTTTACATACAGTCTTCTTCTTGGCTAGGTCACCGGAGGCACCCAAAACAACAATGATGGTGTTGTCCTTGAGCTCCATGTTTCTATCGCGAGATTTGTCAGCCGTCATGTTCAGAATGCTGCAAGGGTGTTGGGCGCTTCGCGCGTCGAGCGACCCCTCCGCCGAAGAGCGCAACGTGCTTCAGCAGAAAACAACTGCCGGATAAATTGGTTGGATATCCAAATAGCTCTCCAAAGGCTGTAGCAAGTCGGTCAGAGACGGTGAGGGCTACTTACCCGGCATTGACCTCCTCTTGCTTGGGCTGGATAACTGTGTCCGCCATTGTGTTGATATGTGATGTAAACGCTTTGCGGGAGGGGGCGGGCGCAAGGTTACAGCTCAATTAAGGGCTGTAGGGAGTGATGGAAATAAGGTTAGACGAGAGATCTCGAAGTAAGGGCGGAAGCTACGGATAGGACGTTGGTGTGTGAGGAAAAGTCCTATGTAGTGGGGTTATCGGAGCTGCTCTAGCGGTTTCGCGTGGTGGTGACGTTGGTTAGCTTTAATTTGCCGCTCGAACGCCGGTGATAGGGTATCAGACAGGAATGCTTCACACAAACACACAGCGAGGTCTGACGTCCTTAAAAAGGTATCAGTAAACAACTAGGTCATTCTCCAAGCATCACTAAGCCGCCGCACGACTTGCAAAACATCTCCGGCACCAGTCAAAACCCTTGAAGCCCGCCGGAGGAGACCTTGCTAAAGCCGTACCCAGGGATGCGCGGACAACCCCACCATCACCATGCACTGCGCGTGGAACGGCTTCGTGCGCACTTGGCTGGAAGTCGATAGACTTTGAGGCTCTGAAACTCTGTTTGCTTTTCTACAATTGAGTTCCAAGCCCTCGGTCGTGTCGCATCACTGTCACAGCGCCCGAGGGAAGCTGCATCCCATGTACGGCTACCCCGCCGCGAGGCTCCCCGAGTCCGGACAATGTGTAAATTCTATTAGAGTATACACAAGCATCGGCACGTCTCAGTGTCTCGGGCTGGTACTTGGGTCTGTCAAATCCTCCGGCCCCTCTTTGAGTATACCGAGCGGACAGCACTGGTAAGCTAGTAGCTTTGGTGGGGCGCGTCGTAATTGAAGACTGGCAACAGCCATGGCGTACTGGCCCCAGCAATGCTTTACGAACGTGACGTGAAAGCACTGGCAAACGCGATGGATATGTGAGAATTTTGCCGTTGGCTATTTGGATCATCCCAGACCGTGACATGATGAGTGAACCGTCTTTGGCCGGTTCGATTACTCATACAGTCCCCAATATGCCGATGGGCGACACGCGACGGCATCTCAGTAGGCAGTCGAAGGGGACAGTTATCAACAGTGAAGCGCCAGGCTTACATATCCGCTGCAAGGCAGAACCCAAAGAGGTAAGAGGAAGTTAGGACAAGCATAGCCTTTGTGGCGGCGGGACATCTCGCGGAAGAATTGTGCCTTCACTCCCAACAGTTGTATACAACGACAGGAGGTCCAGCATACAGTCCTCAAGCGCACGTCATGCAGATGCAGTGAGTGGTATACTGGCATTGCCTTACTTGCCTCGACTGTCACGAAAGCGCAATGCCACCAAACAAGCATATTTTGCCCAACATGCACTGGCATGCAAACAGCCCAATTGCTTCCATGAACACAGGATGCGTTGGAACCACCAAAGCATTTCTTTTTCTACAGACTTGGATTTCAGCATTCCATCGTGCTCTTGTTTTGATGTTCTTCAGACAACGAGGAGGCAAAGCAGTTGCGCCACAGCTTGTCCAGCTGTGGCTGGTGTGGCGCTAGTAAGCGAGAACGCCCCACTGGACATGAAGCAATTCGTCTTTCTCTTTGGCAACGACGACTTCTCTGTACTAACGACAGCATCAAACCCCGACCCAGACGTCCCCTTCATCCCCCCGAGGCCGCCCAAAAAATTCGCCATGTCTGCCGACAACAAGTCCCACCGCCTTTACGTCAAGGGCAAGCACATCAGCTACCAGCGCGGCAAGGTTTGTGCGCACCGAATTCGCGTATTGTGGCTACCGTTCTGACGAGAAGGATAGAGGAACACCAACCCCGGAACTTCTCTGCTCAAGCTTGAGGGCGTCGACGATGTCAAGGCAGCTCAGTGGTGTACGTCCGCCCTGATGTCGCTCCGACCACGAATTTTGATGAGCTAACACACGTTCAACAGACGCCGGCAAGAGGGTAGCCTACGTCTACCGCGCACAACGGGCGATCCAAGGCTCCAAGATCCGCGTCATCTGGGTATGAACGCCAGCTACTTTGTCGAACGAGCGAAATCTAACATGAAAACAGGGCAAGGTCACCCGTCCTCACGGCAACTCCGGTGTCGTCCGCGCCAAGTTCAAGAACAACCTCCCTCCCAAGTCCTTCGGTGCCTCCGTCCGCGTCATGCTTTACCCTTCTTCGATATAAGCTGTTCCGATACGATCTTTGGCGACGGGAACGAACGGTCGAAAAGCAATGGAGTGATGGATGATTAGGCGCAAATACCGGGCACGGAGCGAGAGAACAAACAGTAGTGTGGGAGACACCATGCACAGTCTCTCATACACGTAAATGTTCAGGCTGGTGCAACGGTGTCTTTTGGTTCCGAAAGTCCATAACAATGGCAAATTCAATCAAGATTCCTTCCAAGATCAATGATACTACGTTCAAAGCCATTGAGAGCATTGGCGTGATGTTGGGATTGTAGCGCGGCGACTTGGATGATACATTGGTGTGCTGCTAACTGAGTCGTGTAGATTCTCTTTCGCAACGTCCAACGCAAGCTCAACTCTATCTAACGGTCGCACAATCGCAACTCCACTCGTCAACGACTCCCCGTATAATCATACTCAAGGTTCACAAGGAGCCCTATCACCAGCCCGATCAGACCGTCTATGCATTGCGCCTCTTAGACACGGTAAAGCTTGCTATTACTACACAACACAGTTACGTCAGAAGGACAGTCGAATCTCGATACTGTTTCTCTTGTGTTGTATTTGCGGGTATAGTATTAATATTACTGCATGATGCACCTCCATATCTAACCAGTCGCGACCCAAACACATTGCTCACCCTACCCTTGTCATCTTCACCGGACGTTGCAACATCTGCGTTCCCCTTCTACCTATACCCGGTTATCCTGGCCTACGATAACGTCTAGTCAGAGTCATCGCTAAACTGTTCTCCTTGATCCGTGTCAGGCAAGTCGTCGTCGTCGTCGCTCTGCGCCCTCAGCATCCAAGCAGGGCTAGAGAAGCAAGGCGCAGCTTGTGAGGTAACCGTGCGAGGTGGAGTTGCCGCTGTTGCCAGTGGGGGAGGGCTCGAAACCGTGGGCGCATTACGAATACTAACCCTAGCAAGATCTGATAGAGAGATACCGCTCCGGCGATGACCCCCAACATCACCAAAGGAACCGAAAGAGTGTGCCGAGAAAGGTGGTGCGAAGCGAGGACTGCTCATCATAGGTGTCGCCAGCTGGAGGCTTGATCGGCTAGGGAACGACTTCGATGTCGCCTGCTGTTCGAACCCAGCAGTTTTGTCGCTGCCCGTGGGTCAAGTGTGAAAGAGCTGCTCTCTTTAATGCTTGGTGTCGGCATATCGGATAGAGAATAATTGTCTGCCTGCTCCACCTTTTCATGAACAACTGGCGTCTCGTCATTCCGGTCTTCCTCCGACTCATCTGCGTCGGTATCCGATCCATCCCCCCGCTGTCGAAGACTATGATGAAAATTGACGCCAAAGATGCCAGCAACTTGTGGTTCCTCCTCATCTCCCATCGCGTTGAGCCAAGCTTTTGCTTGCTTATAGTCGTCTTCCAGGTTGAAATCGCCATCAGATGCGATTGTGAAAGAGTCCTTTGTAGCTGCCTCGGCCGTGGGCGGGCTAACCAGGATATTGGTGTTTACTCCATTATCTCGCTGGAAAAAAGACTCATGCGGTGCCCTTGGGATGTCAGGGAATGGTCCAGGCGATGGGGACTGCGACCGGCGTTCCATGTTGGCCATCATGTGGTCTAGTTGACGGTCTACGAAGGAGGCCGACAACTGTGGCGCTCGGGCTGATGGTACGCTATCTGGAGTCACGTTCTCGACGGAAGAAAGGATATGCAGACGCTTCGCAGCCGGCATGACCGCAACTGACGATTGGTCGCCATCATTACGTTTCGCTGGTGATTGGGCCTCAGCAAGAGCTTGCTTGCGATCTTTCAGCATCTGTACTAGAATGGAGTGATCAACATGTGGCGAACAAGTTTGATCCGATCTCCCTGGTCGCGATACTGTCTTCTTCAACGGGCCCTTTGCCGACAGGATCGTTCGCTTGACCAAATCCGCCGCCTCGTCGAGCTCTGTCGCGGTCGTGAACTTTGACCAGTGATCGGGGCGCCAGTATTCTTCTCTACCATTCAGAGTTTTGGGCAGCACCTTCATACTGCCAAAGTAAGTCGGCAGGAACTTCCCAGCAGTCTCTGGTGCTTTGGGAGCTAGCGGTGCATGGAAGTTGTACTGGCCACCCTGGCGTGTGACTGATGCCCAAGGAAGAAGACCGGTGTGAGCAAGAACGACATGGTACAAAACCTGACTGAAGTCTGCTGGATCATACAGTGGGAACTGCGGCGCACGATCTGGAATATCCGCTGTCAATTGAAGTGAGGAACTGAAGGCGGCTAACAAGGAGAGAGTAGCATATAGACCCTCTATTTCTGACTCTCCGCGTACTTCGACAAAGTTGTTACATCCTATGGTCCCCTCATTGATGCAGGCGAGAAGTAGATCCGGAGCTGCCAGTCGATGTAAATGTGTGAGGTTGAACATTCGCGAAGGCTTGTGATACCACACCTGATAGGTCTCCTCAAAGTGTGTCGTCGGCTGGTTCGTGATGTTTCCGGTTGTCAATCCCGCAAATGTGGCTTGCATGAAATCAGGCATAGTTCCATGTTTTACAAGAGCATCCCAGAGCCTATTGATCTCAGCGAACTTGATTATCCCATGCTGGGGCGAGATCTGGCGCTCATACTCCTGAACAAAAGCATGATGCCACTTTGGATAGGCCTCACAACAGCCTGCTATCCAATCTAAGATGCCACGTTCTTCGAAGCCAGTACCGTTTTGCGTAAACAACACTGTTCGCTTGACTGAAAAGCTCTGCCAAGGCTCTTCCACATCGCCAGCGAGCTCTCGTATCTTTGCGCATACCTCTCGGGGCGTTAGTTCCCATCGATTGTGATAGACGATCGATGCCAAGCCATCTAGGTATGGGTGTCCAAGAGTTAACAGCATATGCTGCTCTTCGCCTATCTTTGAAGACGGATGCATAAGCACCCAGTCAAGCTCCATCTCCTTGATCATATCTGATCGGCATGGTCCGACCTCGCGACGAGTCGCGTTGTGGATTTGGTCATTCCGAGCCTTATGCCAACCATGTTGTTTCATGCTTAACAAGCGGAGCATCTTCTTGCCTTCCTTCGACTCGCGCAACTTGCCTCTAGGCCCAAAGAAGTCTGCGACTACGCGCTCCATGAGCTCGAACTCTCTACTCGCAGCCTCAGTCTTGGTCATCATAAATTCTTCGCTGTAGGCATCCTTGGTAGCTGCCTTGCGCAATTGCCAAATATCACAGCAGCTTTCGACGATCTCCATCACAGCGCGGCCGTCTTCGGTCATCCTCTTCAGAGGTTCAGGCGCGCCGCTGGGGAATGACGTTGACTTCGAGTAGTCGACTAGGAGCACAGTTTCAGGCTTGAAGTCCACCAGACGAAGTAAAGCACTCTCTTTGGTAACATTCCCATGCACAATCTTGTGGAAATGCAAGAAGGTGAGAGCAGACATGAGCCGTCGCAGGAGCTTCGAGGCGATTGTGAAGCGAAGGCGCGGATGTTGTTCCTTGATGTCCTTCTCTAGGGCAGCATATGGCTCAAATCCCTCATGTGTTTCGGTGATCACTGCCGGAATATGATTGATCTCAACTGACTGCAGGTAGCGAACAAGAGATGCATCCACCCTGTCCTTTGCCAATTTTAGAAACTCAGCGTCGCGAATATCTTGGCCGTTGTCGTTATGGTGGAAGAATTTCGCTGTTTCGATATTGCCGGTGAAGCGCTCAAGAACCCGATACGTGTTGGTAGAAATCCGGTCAGGACGTTGCAGATATCGATCCCGTGCCCAGGTCTCGGGGCGATGGACGACTTCTTGTAGTTGAGGGCGTAACTCTAGAAGTTGATAATCTTGGATCGGATAAAGGCCGCGTACAGTCTTCAGCATGAAGATCTCGACACGTAAACCGTTGATCAAAACGTGATTGACTAGGTTTTGTCGCAGATGGACGGCCTGTGGTAACTGGCTCGACAGTTTTCGTGTACGGGGGGTGCTGAGTTGGATAGGCGCACCATTTACCTCCGCGATGGTCTCAGTAGCGGACTGCAAACGCCAGCTATCGCTCTTCCATACCGGTGTGAGGTTGAACTGATGAATCCCGACCCTACTACCAGGGAAATACACATCGCGCGTCGATGGCGATGCGCTCTTGTTGTCGGCACGACCCATCGTGTAGCAATGTCGTCCCTGAATGGCACCAAGGAAAACATGGCAGCCATCTAAGGACCACTCGCCATCGGCTAGCTGAGTCCTTATACGCGATTTCCTGTACGCCGTGCTGCGATTTGCATGGTGAGCTCTATGGTCATAGACCGTAACAATTCCAACAACGTTGTCAACAGAGAGTCCATCAGGGATAGGCACATGTCCGGCTTGAACAAGTTCCTCCCCAAGTAGACCTGACATGGTCGCGGTCGGTGTATATAGCTAGGAAGATCGTCTGAGTCGTGATAGGTAGTGTAACGTTCTGGGGCGGTGGAGACGGTGCGGTGTTGGAATGGCGCGAGAGTTGAGTTTCGGGAATGGTCGCGTGCTTGTTAATTACTGAGCAAAGTCGGCACGCACGATCATACTGTGGTGAAGGTTTGATTACCAGCAGGCAAGTGTGCAGCAGACTTGATCGAAACGGCCCTTCTGCATGTGCGCTCGCGACGGAGTCTCTCACCCACGAGTTGAGATTGAGACACTCACATGTGACCCCGACAGCCCGCGAGCTACGACAAGATATTCAGAAGCCCAGTCGATCGGCGTGATTCACCTGTAAAACTTGGTCCGAGCTGTCGTGAAATGATCGGTCCAGGTTTTCCTGTCTTGGATGTCGTACAGACCCAACAAATCTGGCTTGCCGTCTCGAGCATTGTTTGTAAGTGTGACAGTATATCTGGTAACCCGTTAGTTTTCTGAGACAGCTTGCGTCTTCGTCAAACCTACACGACTGAGCCCCTTGCTATTTGGTCAAGCATAGTAGCTTTCTGGAACTGGTGTGCGTCTACCGGAAGGAAGAACCCCATGTCGGCAATTGCAATAGGTGGGTCTGTTACCAGCACTTCATCTCCCTTGCTCTTCTTAACTCTTCCCCAGAAGAAGTAGTTATCTAGAAGCATGGCATGTACTGGAATCCAAGGTCCTTGACCCTTGAACTTCATCGCCATGCCGCCTTGATGCACGACGCGCCGGCTGGGATCGTGTAGGTATAGTTGCGAAAGCGTACTGGTGTCTGTCCGAATACGTTTCTCCAAGTTCTGCACGTCTTCACGGCCTTGCGCTTCCTCTAACAAAGCCAGCGTCAACGTCTTGAGCCAAGTGACGGCCTGCAGAGCGCGTCTCAAGCGCATAACTTCACTACTCGCCGCCGGATCGCGGAGCGTTTCAGCGATGTTGATGAGACTTTCCAAGCTATCGACATAAGTCTGCAACTGTATAATGGGAAGTTCCAGATAGTCCTGCCAACTCTTGCCAAAATAAGAGATACTGAGACCGAGCGTGTTGACATATGGTGAGAACTTCGGGTCCATGTTTTGAGTTGTACGGAGTGAGGAGGAAGCATGCGGCATCTTACGGCAATACTCTCGATATAGTCGTTGACTTTTGTCAACCCAGACTTCGAAGATGTACGGATTGCAGAGAGCACTACCATTGCCAGCAAGTTCTTGATCCATGGTGTGCAACAGACATTGTTGATGTAGTGTGGCAAGTTGTTCGCCAACAAGAATCGCATTCAGATGTTTTTCGATGATTGGCCATTGCCTTATGATATTGTCGTAGAACATCCGTTTGAGTCTTACCATGCGGTCGACAAACTTTCTCTCTGCGTCCACGAGTGATCTCCAGATGCTGTTCATTTCGATGTTATGCAGGAGTAATGATGTCCCCTGTGCTTTAGCTTCATTCACATCAAACTCGACATTACCTAAAGCATTGTAAGAGGATCTGTGCCCAAGTGGCAGCGGCTTCCGTGACGATTGCCCTGTTGAATTGGGGCTCAACTGCGGAGTTTCATACACCGTGTAAGTCGATGCGGTTGACACTTTTGATAGGATGGATGGCGCATCAGAGGAAAATATACTATCATCAGAAGACACTGAACGCATTTTGGGCGTTGCGACAGGCTGCCCGCTCGGACGACGAGGAGGTAATGGAGGCGGTGCTTCTGAGTCGTTTATTGCTTTGTCTCCACTGAACGATCGCAATGGCGCCGGAGTTAAAGAGTCGGTAGAATGGACCGGCAACGCAGAGGCATTCTCAGAACCCGTATGGCTTGGAGTCAGAGGACAAGTTCGACTCGGTATTGCAGAAGGGTTTTCAGAACCCGTATGATTCGGAGTCAAACAAAGCGCTGCAGATGAGGTTTGAGGCATGAAGGAAAGTATGTCGCGCTCGAGAGTATCAAACAAATCTGCGTGGTCATCTTTTGTGGCGACTTGAGATGATATCTCTGGTTCTGCTTCAGCTTCAGGCTCTGGGACACTAGTCGTAGTCTTCCATTCCTCTGACGATAGTGGGGGAAGGTCTATAGGATCAACGCTCCTATCTTTGTCGTCGCCCTGGGACATGCTTCCAAGAGCGGTCGAGTAGTCTTCTAAAACATCAGTATCTGAGCTCTCTTGTGCAATCGCTCCATTGTTTGAAGACAGCGCCATTGCCATAGCCCTACGATAAGCCTTCGAGTTGACGACCTCGTCATCGAAAGTGAACTCGGTAGCTTTCGCGATAGAATCTGCGTCGACATCTTTACCGTCCAGGCTTTGTTGACTGAATAGCGACTCCGGTACCTTCAAACGAGGGTGCGACTGGCGCAGAGTCCTTGACCGTTTTACAACCTGATCGAGTGTAACGCTGTTGTCTTCAACCAGCTTCTTGATGTCCACAATCGACTCCATTTGCAATCCTTGTATAAGGAGACTGAGCGCAGATTGCTGGCCGCGGATCTGCGTGAGCAGCTCTTTGAACGTGTCTTCCTTCCAAAGAAACCTCGCTCGGTCCTTGAACTTCAGTTCGTCGTTTTCCGCTTTTATTCGCAGCTCTCTTACTTCCTCCTCGAGACATCCGTACACGACTCGACATCCCGTGAGCGCGCGATCGAACGTCTCGAGTAATTGGGGTTTCTCTCGTAATGCGTCATGTTGCAGGAGATTTTGGACTTGGGACAGGGACGCTGCGATGACCATAGATTCGGAGTATATGGCGGTAATAAGGACCGAAGCATCTTTGTACTTGGCGCGCAGGTCGTACAAGTCTTTTGCAGACTGTATGCTCTGCGGTAGAGCGACTAGCTATAGTGGTAGTGTGCGCATTAGCTTGATACACTGGGCAGAAGCTTGTCGACGCGCTTCGCGTGGGGAGGATCATACAACACCGACTACAGCGGACATCTCCATGTGTGCCTGAACAGATGAAGAACAGATCTAGCGCAAGCAGACGCAAAGCAACATTACAGAGGGTTGGGTTCACAAGGCCTCCAGGGCTCAGAGAGTTCTGCTTAGGCCCCCTTGCTCGCGCCTTGCCGGAATTTGGGGGCGTGTTACGCGACGTAATGCACAGATCTCCCGCGGCAGAAACTCCGCACGTCATTACTGCATTCCTTTTCCCATATCGTCTAGATCAGGTCCAACTACAACGCGTATGTTCACATAGACAAGGATCAAGAATGGCAGCGATTGACTTGTTCGCTCATGCGTGTCTTCGCTGAGCCCGATCATCCCAATCGTATAATACAAAGCTGGGAAGTTAACATAAACACACCGCGCCAGCGAATGCACGCCCACCCATGAAGGCGCATCAAGAAGATAATGAGAGATTACCATGGTCCGCCATCAGAAGATATCCATCAATCATGCCTTTCCTTTGCCCGTCTCGATCAAACTACGTGTCCATATACACACGCTCAAATCAGGGGGTATGTCCAGCTAAAAATGCCAATAGTTCACGCGAAACGGCGGAGGCTCGGAAATGCGAGGAGAAGTCGTAGCTACTATCGGCTCTGCAAGATACTACCTTGCGAATACCTTGACTATGCCATCACCGCCTGCTGAGACGACGAGACGACCATCCTGGCTCCAGACAACGCTGCACACACCTTCACCGCGCATGATGCGGTGTGCGGTGATTTCTTGTGTGCATATGCGCTTGTCGAGTGACCAGAATCGGATAGAGGCGTCATGTCCAGCAGATACGGCTTCTCGGCCGTCCTTGCTGAGTGATAACGAAGAAATAGCTGCAGGGTGTGCAAGCATGCTATATGTACATTGTCCTGTTCCTGGTCAGCAAAGGTCAAATTTATCATTTTGGGAAAGCATACCAGAGTTGGCATCGAAGAACCTGATGAGATGGTCTTCGTGCCCACTAATTATAACACCCTCCAGGCCGCCGTTAGCAGAGCCAGTCGGGCCATGTATGCCTTCCTCATCTGAACCGCCTCGGCCAGCCTCCTGTGACGCACTTTCGAGATACTGCGAGCTTGTCACAACTGATGTGATACCAGTCGCTGGGGTTCCATCGTAAGATTCGTTACTGGCCATACCGATCAGCTCCTCGCCGGTCCTCGTGTCATACACCAAGATTGATGCGTCAGAGAAGGAGACAACAAAGTTCTCTCCAGTAGGGGAAAGCGGGCTGATGCACGTAGGCGAAGGGTGCGTGTCACGCTCGATGGTATGTATTAACATGTAATGAAATGGTGTCGTGGTAGCGATGCTGGGCTGCGGTGAAGACGGGTGGTTCGATCCAGATGTGACCGAGTGTCTCCGGCTGCCTCCAACACCACGACGAGAGTTTGTCTGCGGTGAGACCAGTTGAGGCGGCGCACTTACAGCCCAGATCTTGATAGTACCGTCTGCAGATCCGGAAGCGAGTATGACACGGTCTGGTCCTCCGTACTTGCTGCTATCGGAGCCGAACAGATTAGCACAGGTGGTAGGGAGAACGCATACAGTCCAGACGGCATCGGTGTGCCCTTCAAGGGTGGCCTTTGGGTCAACTCGGCCTCGTTCCCATACGCGGATCGTGGCATCCTGACCACCCGAAAATATCCAGCCATCGCCAGAGACCCTTCCTCCGGTGGCAAAATGAGCAGAAGCAGGGCAGGCTGCTAAAGATGTCACAGTACCTTCATGACCCCGATGTGACCAGAATGGCTGAATGTCTAGATCATTGTTCATGCTGTGCTGGTTTGCATAACTTGCGGGTATCATCCATCTTTTGATCATGCCGTCATCTCCCGCTGTGCAAATCTCTGGCTCACTGGGGCTGCCACCACCAGTGAAAATGACTGATCGTACCACATCGAGATGGCCGCGAAGTGCAAATCGGACTTTGAAACTTTGCGGGTCAGTCTTCGCTGCTTGCTGGGCTACTGCTTGTTGAGCTTTCTGATCATTACTCAGTCGTCTGACGTGGTCTTTGCTGGCCCTCTTTACAGGGCGTGGTGGCGATTTTGCTGGGATGCTATTCGCCGATGGAAATTCTTCGGTGTCTGGCCGTCTGGGTGGGCCCTCCTGAGCTGTCTCCGATGCGGGGTCGAAAATCCAATCATCTGTCTCTTTCTCCTGGTTGGCAGCCTGGCTTGGATCCGAAGCGTTTTCCTCAGCAATTGGTATTTGGCGTCCTTCGCTATCGAACGCATGTGTCACCTTTTCGACCTGCTCTTCGGGTACCGACGAATAATGCTGCTGATTCTGGGGCTGACGTTGCTGTCCGAGAAGTTCCTGAGCCATACTAGCGTTCTGCGCAAGGGGTTGTTGCTGTGAGGGTTCTCGTGTCATTTGTGGCGCGTGGTGGATTTGATGCTGGTTGGCTAAGCTTTGAAGTTCAGAAGGGACTGGCACGTTCGGGGGCTGGTGAGTAGGCATGGACGTGCCTGGCATGGTTGGGAGTTGTGACTGCAGCCTCTGGCGGTGTTGTTGTAGGTAGATATCTTCCATCGAGGCCTCGCCGTGGTTCAAGTAGCCGTTGCCATTAGCAAGCGGCTGTAGGTTCTGTTGTTGTTGCGAGGCTTGCGGGGGCGGAGTAAGGAGGTATGTGATTTCTTCGACGCATTTGGTAAGGTAGAGCTTGGATTTCTCTCTGAGGTTCTCGCGGTCGGCTTCTGCGCGGTCAAAGAACTCCGAGTCGACGTCGAGGAAAGAGTTGTGCTTCTTGTTTTGGGCTTCGCCAGGTTAGCATAAGTCTAGGTCATGGCCTGGCAGTATGGTATACGCACGCTTGGTGGAATTCACGCCACCCTTCTTGCCCTTGAGGTCCTTCTTGTCATCTGCTCCGGCCTCAGAGTCGCCTCCTGCTGCCTCGCTCTTCTTCTTTCTCTCGTTGGTAAGTGCCTGCTCCAGCATCCGAATATGCTTGTTTAGCTGGTCATTCAGCTTCTTCGCGCTCCGCACCTCGCCCTCCTGTTTCGCGATCTTGGCCTTCATCTCGGCGCGCTCGATGTCCCATGCATTGCGTGCTCGTTCATGGTTGTGCCATTCCAGCTGTAGAAATCGCATAACACCTGTGATCGTGTCAGCCTGCCAGTCTCCCCGCCATGTACAGGGCAGATCCAGGGGAACTGCATACCCTGCAATGTGTACTCTGTCCCCGCGGGCGCATTGCCGTCACCCCCTCCATTGGCACCGCCGCCGTTCATGGCCGAAGGCGACTGCCAGGCCATGACAGACGTATGTTAGGGTCTCGTCGCGGCGATGTTGCGTCTTAGTGAGTCTTTACTGAGCGTGGGCATGCGGCGTCGGGGGTCGGCAACAGCGCGGTCGACGTGTCGGGATCTGGCTCCAGAGCTCGGACCCCAGGGCACCGGACAGATGAAGAGGCGCGGGTAGTGAGTGAAGCTGTGAGAAGATGGGCAGTGAGGATTATGCGCACGCGCAATAGCAGGTCTCGTCACGGCTGCGGCAACATCCACATATGTCGTCGCACAGGGGAGGCCGTAGCGCCGAAGCGGGACCCTGCCAAAGATGGCGCACGGACCCATTATCACCACAGGCTGCGGGAGGAGCGAGCGAGCTGCTCACTGTGTTACCACCACAGCTTTTGTGGTAGAAGCCCGGAAACACCCAAAGTACACTGTAACAACGTACCAATATCCTATGTTATCGCTGGTATTATATCCCCGAAGCAAGCGTGGCCGGGATTTCCACATTGAATCCCCAGAGCATTCCATCAAGGGCTCGCAATGCCATCCGATATACCATCAGTACTGACAAATAACGCTTGGATAGGGAGCTCTTCCATGACTTCTTTGCTGTAAGTGTCTATATTCAATTGTTTCTCTACCCATACATCTCCTCTTCTTCACTCATGTTGTTACGTCACTGCACAAGCTATGAGCACTCCAGTGGGAGTAAAGAGGACTTGCTAGCACTCGAACAAGGTCTCATCGTCTGAAGGCTGATTCCTTTCGTATCTCCAGTTGGAAGATGCACGCTTTGTTCAGTCTTCTTTGTCATCGTCCAAGGGCGGTAGCTAATGACTGCCGCATCCGGCGACACTGTGCCACCTGGTTGCTTGTCGAATCGTCGAACTGAACACTAACGATTATAATAGTCCTGACTCCTGCTGTAGCCACCTTCCGATCTGCTGTAGCTGCACATGCTTCCTTGTATCGAAAAGTAGCTGCTGGTAGCTGCTTGTCTGCTTGAGTGGACGACTGTTCACTGGGCGACTCAAAATGGTATTGTGTTCGCAACTCGTCGTTTCTCCTGTCTGACGATTTACCTTATCCCAAGCTTCGTGCTTTTCAGTCTTTCATGGTCATCTTTCTGATCTGGTCATGCCAGAATCACGATTCGCACACCTGCACCGGCCACCATGTCGCGGTAGGATCTACAAAAAAAGAATTCGGAACATCACTCCTCTGTCGAATTAGATTGACTTGCGTTTCACAGTATGAAGAACGATTCGTTTACACACGGTATCACGGTTGAAGACGGGGCTGGTGCCTTACCTCCAACATGCCAAGTGGAGCCTTCCCGATTGGTACATAGGCGTTGGACGCTACAACCTTGTCACAACATTGGAACCTCTTCCCAGCAAGACTTTACCAATTCACCCCACCTACCGCCAAACACCACCACTTCGAATCCTCCTGGAATCCCGGGCATCACGGTCGCGCACCTCTATTGATACGATCGACACCGACTTTTACACCAAATAAATCATCAGACATGGCTGGCGGTGGAAAAGGTACGCGCTGACCGTGCGTCGCGCTCCGGAAGGCCTTGAGAGCTAACAGAATGCGCAGGAAAGACAGGTGGCAAGACAGGAGGCAAAGGCGATGCGCAAGTCAAGACTCCCAAGTCGCACTCCGCCAAAGCCGGACTTCAAGTGAGTAGCTGCCCGATACGCGTCATCGCCCAACCACCACCCCGCGCATACCTACGCACGCCGCACAAAAGAACGACGCGCTAATTTCGCCTTTCCATTGTAGTTCCCCTGTGGTCGCATAAAGCGTCATCTCCGAAACCTCACGCGACAAAAGACGCGCATCGGAGCTAAAGCCAGCATCTATCTGACCGCTGTGCTCGAATACCTGACTGCTGAAGTTCTCGAGCTCGCAGGCAACGCTGCCAAGGATCTCAAGGTCAAGCGCATCACGCCACGCCATCTTCAGCTTGCCATCCGAGGTGACGAAGAACTGGACACCCTCATCCGCGCTACCATCGCTTTCGGAGGTGTTCTACCACACATTAACCGTGCACTACTACTCAAGGTAGAGCAGAAGAAGAAGGGTGGTGCGGCAAAGGCTGGCGAGGTGTAGGTGCTTGGATATCCTGCCAGCGAGCGCACGCGCCCCGACCGCGGCAAACCTGACCAACCCGCAAGCCAACTTCAGTTTGGCGATGAGGAGAGGCGGTGAACGCCTAGCCTTAGCATGTGTATGAAGAGGCACGCTCTTTGTCTGGCTTTTCTATCTACCGCTGTCTTGTTGATGAGGACGGCTCATTTTTTCTGTTGAAATACAGGACGTTAGGATACGGTGTTAACTTTCTTTAGTCAGGCGTGAGAGGATCGGTGTTGACGGTCATGGAGTCCATTTGTCCTTTGCGGTATGTAGTAACACTCAATCAATGTCACTGAGCGGCAAGAGAAGTCTATCGCATTTTCCGCTCGAACTGTATGCGGTATGCGCACAAAATGTCTTCGCGCATAGCATACAGCTGTCTCCCCGGAACTGTTAAACTGATAAGATGACGGTCGACTACCCGCCTAGCAAGGCTATTATATGTACATAGAGGACAAAGACTTGCTCTCGTCTCATCGAAAGCCGGAAGGGTCAGATCGAGACAAGTGGAGAAAGGGCCCTTTGTCCAACAAGAGCAACCGAAAGGGGGATCGCAAAGGTCAGACGTACATAGATTGCATGTGCACGTTTTGGAGCGGGCACTAGGCACACATGCGCAAGGTGTGTTTGCGCATCAAGCTTGCATGACAATCACGAGTACTTCGATACCGAGTTTGGTAACACGAAACGTATCTTCCCGTCTCTCAAACTGCACATCTGATCCGATGGAAGCTATACGGCATGTAAGCAGACCAAACGCCAGCTTAGTACCTCTTCCTCGAAGCTTTCTGCTCCGAGAAGAAGATCACGATCCCATCAATTTTGTGACTCCGCCATTTACGTGTCTTCGCCATGTTCGACTCTTCGTCCTTAAACCACAATCCTTTCCGCCGTCTCCCCGTAGCCTCTGCCTTCTCTTACTCCAATTACATAGTCCCAGGTACCATGCCCCACCTCTACACCCAACGTGCTCGAGAACCGATACACCAACATCGTCACCGACCAATTCATCATCTGTCTTCTCCTCCTCCCCACCAATCCCGGCGCCGTCCCCAACACAAGCGCTACTCGCACTACTCAGACATGGAATCGAGCTTTTCGGATCCCGACACTCCAGACGAAGCCTACCGCAGACACATGTCCCCACCGTCTCCAAGCCCCTTCAACGCCCGTCCCCAAGGACGAAGAAGTTGGAAACATGACGACAACACGCTAGACATTGCTTCAAGCTTCCGTCCCCTGTACGCCAATGTTTCCCGACAAGTGTCCGAAAACATTAGCAGAGATGATATCCTTATCCTCCCTCCTAGCCTCACACGACTACGCGTACAGATGAGGAGTCCGGCTTATGCGAGCGAAACACTCCATGCTACCGTAGCAGGAGATATGCTTTTTCGCGACGCTGTAAAGCAACTTGTGCCAGAGAGATATCATGGAGAGGTTAGGGCGTACGTGAAGATGAGGGGTGAGTGGCAGGAACCAGGACGGTTTCTTGTGAGTCAAATCATGGAGCAGGGGCGATTTGTATCAAATGAGAGGGGGGAGTTGGAAGTAAAGATTGAGATTGGAGGGAGAGGGGGCGGTGGTAAGATGAGAGGGGGCGGTGGTAAGATGAGAGGGGGCGGGAGAGGGGCCAAGGTGTGGGAGAAGGAGAGGGAGAGGGGTAGGACATGGGAGATACGTGATGTATAAGCGAAGACGCTGTTTTGTTAAAATCTGAAGGCAGGACGATCCGAAAATATAACGGTACTTGATCAAAGTGCTAATACATCCGATCGCTCCACTTTACTCCGCCGCCCCAGACTGCAGGGTCCATGTCACGCTGCTTCGATCCTCCGGAACGCCAAGCTCGTTCTAAAGTTCTGAATAGTGTATGTTAAGATGCTCCAAGGCATAAAAGGTACAAAAGAAGTGACCTGTGAGAAATGAAGCTTCCCTATTGGCCAGTTGCGAAATGGAATAAAGACATTTGTTCGTATACAATACAGCGCAAAAATGCCATGGGAAATACAGGAACGAGAGTCATTTGCCTTCGTGCCTGCTGGTGTCAAGAAAGTGTGCCTAGCGACTTCTTTATGACTTCAGGCTGTCCTGCATGCTGCGGCTGCTAGCGCTCAGCGGGATGTTGGTAGTGGGGAGAACGGTCTTGGGCTTGCTGTTCTGGCGGACCTTAGCCAGAGCGTAGACAAGACCACTGACGAATCCAACAAAGATGGCGGAACAGCTGCCGAAGGTGACAGGCGCGTCGAAGAAGATCAGACCGCTGAGCGCAATGGGTAGCTTGTTCAGGGCACCGACCATGGAGTAGGTTGTCGAAGAGGTAACACGGACCGCCCAGGCAGATGTGTAAGAGATGAAGACGGTGGAAAGACCAGAGATGATCATGACCATAATAACGGTGTTGCGCTGTTCGGTGGGGAAGTTCTTCTGGACGTTGGCGGAGGACCAGTCTTCTACGAGGATGGAGGCAACGAGCAGAATCGGGATGGTGAGGAGGTTATTGTAGTACATGGCTGGTTCAGGTTAGCAAACATCTTTGTTCCTCGTAGATTGGTAAACCTACTGTCGAAGTCCTTGAAGTTGGTGAGCTTGATGCGCTTGCGCATGCACAGAACGTAGGTAGCCGAGCAAAAGCAGTTGAACATCATCCAGAGGTATCCGGTGTGCAGGGTCGACATGGCCTCAGTGGTCTTCTCCGCAGCGTGACCCATGCTCGACAAAGCGTGTTGAATGTCAGCCCAAGCCGCAATAACAGAACTCAGCACCATCAATCCGAAAGAGAAGAGAGCCATTGGTGTGACTGCGCCACCGAACCAGAGAACCTCTCCGTATGCGATCAGGATGATGGTCAAGTTTTTGAAAATGGTGTAGACGGGAATCGAAAGGTACTTGAGCGCCCAGGTGCTGGTGTAGATCATGCCGATGAGCAGGACGGAGATGGGGAACCCTAGTGCGGTTAGCATTCTCTTGTATTCCGGCAAGTCTTTCAAACATACATTTCTTCGCTTCATCGCTGTTGAAGTCGCGGTAGTTGATGATGCCCATGGCTTTGCATGTCGAGATTGCTGCTACACAGACAACAGACTGCGCTGAATTAGAAGGGCGGTCTACTGCACGGAGCTATGCTCGTACCTGTACGCAAAGTAGGAAAAAAGGGAGGTTGAAATCGACGCCAGACAAGACGTATTTGTTTGTAACTGTCATCATGATGGAAGATCCACAGTATGCCAGCACGGCGGCAATGGGGTTCTCTGTTATCGCAGGACCGGCGCGGCTTGAACTGGCTGATCGAGGCATCGGTGACGCTGCGCGGAACTCCTTGCCCGAAGGCATATCGACCCTGTAGTCGTCGCTCTTCTTGTCGTCAGACATGGTGGTGGAGAGGGGGACGTGTGCACGCTCGCGTGTGTGTAGAGTCGTGATATGTGGCAGCGACGGGAAGGTCCGGAGGAGAGGACAGATACGTGGCGGCGTGTGTACGACTGCAAACGAGGGGTTGTAGTCGAAAGAAGAAGAAAAGACAGGAGTGTGGGACCAGAAGGAAGGAGACGGGTGTCGCAAGAGAGATGCGCAGGGACGCGAATTGGGTGGGTCTCAACGATGGCCTCTCCCCTGGCTTGGAGTCGCTCTGTTGTGGTAGTGGTAATTTCATGGGCCACTAGGCCGCCTTTGAACACGAGCAACTTCTTGTCAGCACCACCCTGCAGCCTGTACGAGTTTTGTTCTATTTTTCACTACCAGACCCTGATACAGCGCATAGCGTGTGTCGTATACGATCCAAGCGCTTTGCGCACCACTACTGCGAGGGACTGTGCGAAGGCGTTCTTCACTCCGCCAGCCTATCGCCACGTGACTTCTCCTTATCGAGCCTCGTACTCTTTCCCCTGATCCACGACAAGCGACCCCAGACAAACTCAAAAAAAAAAATGGCCGCCTTGGATCCCAAAGTCGCCTCACTTGTCGACCGTGCAGCGCGCGAGGACGACTCGGATGAGGATGCGCTCATAGCATCTCTGGAGAACGACGAAGACCTAGATGCTTTCCGTGAACAACGACTTCAACAATTACATCAAGAGTTTGACAAGGCACGGCGCTTGAAAGAGAGCGAGCATGGAAGGTATACAGAGATCAAGGACGAAAAGGCCTTGATGGACATCACGACAAGCACGCAGTTGTGTGTCGTTCACTTTTTCAAGCCCGACTTCAACCGCTGCCGGATTATGGACACACATCTCGAGGTAAGAACAAACATTGTTGCGGGAGATATCGTCTAAAGATGAACAGTCACTCGCAGTATCACATTATGAGGCCCGCTTCCTCAAGATCAATGTGGAAAATTGCCCTTTTCTAGTCACACGCCTGGGAATCCAAGTCCTGCCATGCGTCATTGCTTTTATCGACGGTGTGGGAGCTGATCGCATCATCGGATTTGAGGGGCTCGGTCACACTGAGCAGAGCTTCACTACTCGCGACCTGGAGGTGCGCCTAATCCGTGCGAATGTTTTAGCGAGAAACAAGGTCAATGAAGAGGACGAGAGACGAAGGCTGCAGAAGATCAGCGCTAAGCAGCAAGACGATGAGGACTTAGACTGGGATTGATAGACATTATGTGTCAGATCAGCTGAGGCGTCAGCGAGGTTGAGTCGCTGTATAACATGTAGAGCTCAGGGAGCGAATCCGCGCGCTGGAAGGAAGGCTGGACATGCGAGTCGACGCTGCCGCACAGTATCTTGATAGTACGCAAGGTGCTGTCGCATAGCAACCATGTCATCACGCGCTCGAGATGCCCAGCATCCAAACAAACATCCCATCAAGAAAAGACTGCGCCTAAATGATCTTGCGCATGGTCAGATAGCACAAAAGAATCAAACATGACGAACAATTCTGGCCTGAATAGCTAGGCGAATAGCTAGAGAGGTCTCAATCCGTTTGTCTTGATTAATATGTTGTTTAATCACAGCAGAATCATGTATAGCGTTGTGCTTCGCCTCTCACATTGTGGAGGAACTGAGGCCACACTCAAAAGGCGGCTGCGATTGGTATTGCTACTATGATTTGAAGGCTGACGTATGATGGTAAAACCCCATGTTGTGCATGGCAGTTGTGTGAACATCGCGCTCAAGCCGATGGCTTATCCCCATTATGGTGGCTGGGTAATCGCGATGACGCCATTCGCCACGTGCATTTGGGCATCTCAAATTATTTCCTTCGTACCCAACGGCAAAGTCATCTTCCACAACACGTTACGGCAACGCTTGAGTCGTGAAATACACATCCCAAATACATCACCGACTGCAAAATGAAGGCATACTGGTTCGACAACCTCCCCGTAAGCCCCCACTTTCTTGTCTCTGCATTCGGCACATGACCTAACCTCTGCAGGGCGACCAACGCCAACCCCATGATTCCGGTCGCTCGGTCGACCCAGACTACCTAGAAAAGCTTGGTGTCCTCTACTATAGCGTGCCAGAGGTTCCCGATGTTGAACCCATTGCTACGTCCCGCAACTACAAGAACCGGGACGAAATCACTGTCAGCCCAGAGAAGATGGGTGACATTTACGAAGAGAAAGTGAAGTCGTTCTTCCACGAGCATTTACATGAGGACGAGGAAATCCGATATATTCTTGACGGTGCGGGTTACTTCGACGTCAGGAGCGAAGGTGATGACTGGGTGAGGATTCGGCTCGAGAAGGGCGATTTGATTGTTTTGCCGCCTGGGATTTACCATCGGTTCACCACTGATGAGCAGAACGTAAGTATAGCTCGTAATTGAAGACTCGAAGCAAGGCAGAGTGTTGATATCTGGTTCTAGTACATCAAGGCCATGCGGCTGTTCAAGGAAGACCCAAAGTGGACGCCACTCAACCGGGGTGGCGAGACAGATGACAACCCATACAGGAAGCAGTATCTGACAGAGTATCTGAAGGCTAGACAGGGCGTCTCAGCTTAGTCTGATAGCTCTTTGCGAACTAGATCCCTTCTTTCTCTGGTATGTTCCAAATGACATCTTCCTAGACTTTCTCTTACAATTGATTCGCCTGTCCCTGCCGGTGACAATCCTACATTCTGTACATCAAAGACAGACTACTCCATGCGAAGCCTTACAGCTACCGAGTGCGGTAGTCTTTGCTGTGTCTTTGTTCAGTTGTTCCCGCGGTTTTCTAATGGTTGACAGCGACATTGTCATATGCTTCCGAGCACTCCTTTTGCCAACACAACCTCCGGAAGTGAAAACGAAACTGAATCATGTTACGTCAGGGCTACCGATGTCTACAATGGTGTTGTCTCAGAACGCATTGCTTCTTTACTCGCGTGCGCACACGCTCACTTGCACACCTACTTCATCTTCTGTCTCAGCTTTCACAGCTACATCTGGTCGTTTCTACACCAGTCCAAATATCATGCCGTGAAACTTGACTTGAACGCGATCCAGATTCTTTGTATTCTCAACCAAAACTTAGTGCTACACCCAAAAACACAGATCTCTCACAATACACTAGTCTCCTGCGAGTATGCCTGATGACATAGTAGAGCCATGCTCTGAATCCGCCCGAGCTTCAGGTCCCAACGCTATCAAAGCCGCGTTTATAAAGAGCAAAAGTATGCTCCAACCTTTCTACACCACAGGCTTACAGAACCTTGCCGAGCCTGCCTACCAATCTGAGTCCGAGGATGAGAAGCCCGTTGTCCGCAAGACGCACATGAGATCTTCATTTAGAGATGTCATGGCGCAGGCTAGAGGTGGTCAAGATTTTGTGCCGCATGAGGAGAAAGAGGAAGACAAGGTGATGAAGCATGAACGTGAGCGATCAAATACACACGCAGATACACCGAGTTCAGAAGTGCCAGCCAGTATCTCTGATCCGGTGGACTTCAGTCGTCTTCAGAAGGCTTTACAGGATCGTGATCAATACCGACGAAAGGAGCCTTATGTCTCGCGGGAGCCACTTGGCGTTAAGGACAGCAATGAACTTCCTGCTCTCCTATCCTTGAAGAAGCAAAATCATCAGGTCAATCAGTCTGAGGTTAGGATGTGCAATCATACAACCTTCGTCATCTACTGGGATCCTGAAGATCCTAGCAATCGCAACGGTTCATTCATATCTAGGGTACGTGACCATAAAGACAGGTCTAATATGACGGAGCACTCCTGCTGCAACTCCAAGAGCGTTGATGTCAAGAGATTAACCATGGAGATGGCCAGTAGTATCATAGAAGCTTTCGAGAAGCAGGGGGATCACCACACAACGGGTCGTGATGAAAGACGTAAAGACATTGAGCCGGAACGACCACCGTCTCACAGTATCGTCTTACGAGAGGTTCACAACATGTACTCTCAGCTTTTTCGTCATGAGATTCGCAAGCTAGTCAAGACTGAAGAGGCTGTTAACATAAAGCTTGATGCGAGGGAGCGGCTAGCAGCCCAGCGGTTACGTCAACGTGGTAGTGCTGCAAAGAACCGTAACAACAACAACACGCCGGAAGTGGACGAAAAGCCAGACTCAGCTCTAGGAACAAGCCCTTCAAAACAGAAGAGGAAGACGCCTAGACAGATCGCGGAAGAGAAGGTAGCTCGAAACAAGGAGCGCAGGGCTTTGACCGATATCGTCAGGGTCCGCGTCGAGCCATTGGACCGCTACAAGCCCTCAACAGTGGAGGAGCAACAGGCTCGAGCAACCCGGGCCGCAGATCAGGTTCGACGTGAACGCGCTGCCAATGTGCAGAATATGGAGCCTGAAACTAAATTCTCATGGAAGTTGAACAGGTTCGCGGTCGTCATCGACATGGCTGAAGACAACGAGACTACTTCCCCTACTCAAGAGGCGAAGAAGCCTAGGTATCACCGCCTAGCTAGGCGCGTTACAGACTCCTATGGTGAGTCTAGTGAAGCCGAAGCTAAGGTTGAAGCCCTTTCAGAGCTTGTAAGTCACGCTGCCGCCATTGGAAACGAACTCAAGCTGGCGACTCTGGCGCCTGCTTCTGCAGCTTCGCGAGGTTCTAAGCGGAAGAAAGCATTCTCTGATTGTGGAGAGGAGATTTCGGCCTCATCATCTTCGCTTTCCCCACGACTGATCAAGAAGGCGAAGCAAGGAAGTTTCTCCGAGCAAATCGCGTTATCTATAGAGCAGAACCAAGGAGGAAAAAACTGATAGACTGGACCATCGGATCGAAGTGTTAGAATACGTAGTTTTTCTATATGTGATGCAGGCCGCGAAACTTGACACAAGAGGTGAACTGGGATATGTCTTGGTATATTGGGGTATACTCTCTAGTAATGCCTTATTTGATGTCTTAGTCCTTCGACCGGTTTACGTTATCTTCATACAAGCTTGAAAGCGCGGAGCTCGCTAATATAGTCCTCCGTACCATACCAGTGAAGATGTACCTCAGAGACATAATCGTAGCCTGAACCCGGTGTACAAAGTCAGTTTATGTCTCACATGCAGTTTGTACAGGGCATCTACTCACCAAAACCAACTCGTCTGAAGGTGCCTTCAAACTTGATATCATGATCAACACCTTCGTGCTCCATTTCGTAGGGTTCTTTTTCCTCTTCTGGGCCTGCTACCATCTCCAGGAATAGTCCTTGATGCTGCAATCTCGGATCCGGATCGTCTTCATCAAATGGCTGACCGCTGACCAAGGGCACAAAATGTGTCACGCGGTCAAACACGGTTTCATCGGTCGGGTCATCCGGAATCATGTCGATCATCGGAGGGCCATAGTTCCACTCCGCTGTGTAGCGTTCAGGAAAGAGGAAGGGTACTCCCTGATTGTCTTCTTCTAGGGGATGTTCCTGGTGGAGTTTTCGATGTAGTGGTTCTTGCTGAATTGGGATGCAAAAGCCGAACATTGTCAAGGTACAGTGGCCAGCTCCGAAGACGTTGGTCTCCAAGGTATTAGACTCTTCCCGCTCGACGCGAATGACACGTGTATGGATCTGAGCTTTGGGCATGAAAATAGAGTCATAGTACGACACCTCTCCAACGCTTGACACCCAGGACCACGATGGTGCAATTTGTCTCAACGTCGCAGCTCTCGCAGAGTCTCCCGGAGTCCTTGGATGTCGACCCCAAAGCATGAACTTCTCCAGATTTGGCTTCCAAAGTCCGAACAAGTAATTCTCAGTGTTGAAATCATCTGGCATGGCTTGAGCCAAGGCCTCAACTACACCCTGTATCGCGGCCAAACGATCCGTCCACCTAGTCAGGTTCTTGTCTGAGTACCTTTGCACAACTTCGGCCCATAATTTCAGTTTGCTACTGACGGGTTGCTCAGCCGATCTGAGACTATCTGCACGAATTAGTTGACCCAATGTGCGTATAAGTCCGTAATCATCGAAATCTAGAGCTAGACGAGTGGAGCCTTCCGTTGGAGAGACATGACACTCGCATCTTTCGTGGTTGCTACACTCCCAAGCTAGTTCAGATGGCGTAGCATATAGAATCCTACGTGCTAGAAAGCTCTCCTGAAAAACCCACGCGCGGGTTGTGAGAGGAACGAGGACATCATCAATATGAGTATTGTCATCGACCATCGGTCGAGACGAATGATGCGCCGGAACGTTATGATATTTCTGCTCTCGTTCGCGAATTGAGAGTTTGACTGTGCGAGAAGTCCCGTCTGGCATGCGGAAGGGTACCTCAATGCGTTTCAGGGGTGCATTCGCCGCTGAACCTAGACTGAGAAATCCCTCCTGGACGCTGGAGGCACCTTGCGCTGAAATGACAAGTTCGGCTCCTTGGTAAATAGATGACATGCGTGGGATCTGATCCATCCAATCTTGTACATCATCTTGAACGATGCATAGTGCATCGATCTATTGCACAGTCAGTCTCCGGTCTGTTTCTTGTAGAGTTCTGTAGCCTTACCCATAAGTACCGTAAGCCAAAGGCCTGAGAGACATGAACAGCATCAGCGAGAGTACGGGGGAGTGTGTGGACATCGATACCCTGCATGTGTGATTGTAAATTGTCTTTCAGAGTTTTAAGATTCCCAGTAGTTCCCCATGCGTAACTGAGACATGCGTAGCCTTCTTGTTGTTGCGATGATGTTGACTCAATTGCTTCAGTGTTAACGAGGCGAACAGAGTCAGCTGAGAGGTCAAGAATTCGGCGTGGCCATCCGTCTTTGCGCGGCACACAAAGCGGATGATTGGCCTTGCAATCCTCGTACCAAATCCGCGCTTCATTCAAGCGGTCTTCCAGGCTGTTTGACTGCTCTCGATACCTATCTCTTGAACCATTCCGCAAACCTAGCCATGGAATGGCAGAGTCTTCCCCCACACCTGTTCGGTCTTTAGCCTTATGGCCTCATATCGCCACCATATACATACAGTTTGCTTGGTAAACTTTAGAAGAATCATAGTAATGGAAAGCACTCACCAACTGGAGTATAAATCTCATAATCGTTTGGCCTTGAATCCACATACCGCTTCCCAAACAAAACCCTTCCCCCGTATGGCTCACCTTCCTGCTCACATCGTACATGCAATACATTCTTGGGGTCCAAAAAGGACCAATGGTCTTCCGCCTCTATGCGTTTGATCTTGATAGTTTTGAACTCTGGTCGCCGAATATCGGTAACGGCATCAAGAGCCTTAAGAATGATGGAACATCCTTGACAGCCGCCTACGGAGAAAAGAAACGCCGTGACCGATACACTGGTTTCATAGCCGTTTGCAAAGTGGTGGCATATGCTGCATGTTGCGGATGCAGCGGACACGGCTTCTGTGGTGGCTGGGGAAGGCTTCAGGGTGCCTGACGTCATTGATGCTTGCCCAACACTAGGGGCCACCGACAAGATTACTCCTAATGTGAGAAACGCGAAACAGTCTATAGCTACCTCTGGTGTAGCAGAACTTTTTTTTTGAGGAAACAAAAACTGAGGTACCAGCAATAACACGAGTTTCTCCAGAAGCATACCTCAAGATCGTTGCGTGGGTTTAAACACGTCGCGTTCGTATAAAAGCGCCCCACCTGACTTGGCAAGACTTCAAGGTCTGCTTCACCGGCACAGAATTAGGCAGGTTGCAAATACTAAGGCCCGAATAGTCGTGCGACTTGCTGCAAAAGATCGGCTTATCTGTCTTCTTTCATCCAAGAAATGTCGCCCATTTCGTTGCTAAGCCACAATCCTAGGTACAAGCGTACAGGCTTAGGCGACAATCTAGCTTTCTTTATCACTTCGCCGCCCGGCGCTGTAGGAGACTGACGTTGACGGCTACCCGCCTAATAGCGCAGAATGAGGCCACCAAGTTGGATGTGTGTGCACTAGTTAGTTACCTAGAGACTCTGGAATACCTCCAAATCAAGATAGAACCAGTGGGATACACAAGGGTAATAGTGACTTGCCTCTGGCTAAGTTTCGTTACATCTCCGTATACTATTCAGCCTAAGCCGTACTGTGCGATGGTGTGAGATCCGAAGGTACACTTTCCATTTCTTCATGAATCACCAAATGCCGGGAAATTACACTTCGATGACGGCAACACCAGCCTCACCCTCCGCAATAGCCCCCATGAAATCTCCAACATCCTCTCCACGCTCATCGAGCACAAACTCCAACGTCTGCACCCACGTCTCCCCATTATTGGTGAACCAATCATACTCCGGACACAAGCTCCTCACATAACCCTCCACCATGCCCTTTAGTGGTGCATGTTCCTTCAAGTACAATATTTGAGCGGGATCGAGCTTCATGTAATCCTCGATAACGTAGTAATGGGGGATATCGTCACCCCAGCCTTCAGCGCCGACTTCGTGGGATGGGTGGAGAGAGAACTTCGATGCCGCGTAGCGCGAGGTGTAGGTTGGTGTGTTGTTAAAGTGCGTGGAGAGGGGATTAGGCGTGAAGGGATTGAAAACTTGGGGGGCTGTGGGTGGGTAGTTGAGGTGGATGTTGTTGAATAGCAGAGAGTGCTCGTTGCCAGGATGCCTTTTCTTGAACTTCCGCGCAATGGTGCCGTTAGATGGGCAGACGTTGCTCTGTACGACTTCCCGTATGACGCGATGGACGTCGGCGATCTCGGCTAGTTCCCAGGTACTCCAGTTGTGTAGGAGTGCCGCACGCTTGAGTAGAACGAGTCTTGTTGCACGGAATTCACGTGGGTGTTCGCGATTGTGAAAGGCGCGTGAATAAAGCCAAATCCTGTATATGGCCCTCCTTACAACATAGCGCTCCTCCGTGGTCAAGAGTCGACGTAGTTCATAGTTGTGCTTCCACTTCTTGAACGGGTATATGTCGCACCACTTCTCAGCTACACGCCCATGATGCACAATCTGCTTAAGCAGCGCTAAAGAGAACGGAACGGTGCGAACAATGTGCGCAGGCTGGCTGGCATTATGGGTGAGAAGCTGGGTGAGGTCTTCCAGAGGTCCGAATTGCGTTTCGGCGGCATTTTCGAGGATAAGAAGCTTTTGAGACGAGGTAAAGATGTTGCGGAAACGACGACAGGTGGAAGATAGAGCTGTTACGTCGGTGACAGAGCGGCATGATAAGAACACCTGCACGACCAGTTCGGTTGCGAGGTCTTCGAACAGCATCTTGAGGGCGGGCGTAGGGTAAATCTGGGGTTGGATTTTCTGGAGTTTTGACCATCAGCATTGAGTCTCTCTAATTATGCGCTGAAGTATCATAGGTACCGTTGGAACTTACCTATGAACTTTCAGGTCAACGTGTGTTTCAACCCGTTCGGGTTCTGAGCTCTTTCCTGTGACAGAGCGAGAAATTTGTATCAATTATCACAGTCTTTCAAAGTCTTTCTTCGAGTATGGTCTATCGATTTAACCGGTGTGCAGCTATCTTGCCTCTACACCGATACGTATCTCGTGGTTCAAACAAATCGGACCCCTCCGTTGGGGCTATGAGTAGAAAACGCGACGACATTCTGGAAAGACATGGTGCAAGTGAATGCGAGCTCCGATGAGCTGTCGTTAACGAGTGTCATCGTTAGTGGTTGGGGAGAAGGAAAGGAGGCATCGGTCGTGACGACTATGGACGTGATGGATGCCGCCAAGGGGGGCTAACCCGGATTGTGGGGGCCAATCAGCGTGGAGAGGCGGGACAGCACCGATGGCGTCAACGAACATGAAGTAAACTGCACAGAGGCATGCATAGCTTCACAGTCCGCAGCTGCAGGTCAAATGCCAGTCCACGAGGAGCGCAAGATGCAGTCCTACTCCAACAACACGCCGTCGCAGCCACCCCCGCTTCTCCGCCTCCCAATCGAGCTCAGACGCCTTATATACAGCTCCGTCCTCCCCCACACGACAACTTTCGAAGTGCGTTTCCAGCGTCCCGCCGACCCACCCCCAAAATCCGAATACAATCTGACCTTCGTGCGGCAGAAAAACGGTGATGGGGGCTGGCGCATGCAACGCACTCTGCCAAAGGCGGAGCGCGAAACAGGCAACGACATAGTCTGGCGACGCGGAAGTACCAACCTACTAGCCGTGTCACGACAAGTACATGAAGAGGCAGCGGATATGCTATATGGAGATAACACATTTGTGATTGATGTGACGTTCGATGCGATCAACTTTCGGTACCGCTGGCGCACTGCAAATAACCTTACGCCGAATCGGACGTATCAGTTCTTGGATCACTTTTCGCAGAGGAATCTGCTGAGGATCAGGAATTATATCATTAATGTTGAATCTGTGGATGATTATACGGGCATGATCAAATACAACTGCGGTGGAAGGGGCTTGCCAGCCGGTATACGGGGTAAGGTGCGCGAGTTGGTTGATTTGTTGGTTGTTGCACCACAGTTGCATCGGCTGCACATACATCTTATAGATGGCGCGATAAGTCGCGTAAGGTTCCCGAGTGGACGAGTACATCGAGTACAGGATGAGAATCATTTTGCGCAAACACAGCTAGTGCTTGATCCTTTCAGGGCATTGTATGGAGTCAGGAACCCAGTTGTGAGTGGTGTTGATGACGACTATAAAGATGCTCTGGAAAAGAGCATGGCAGCGCAAAATGCAACGGGTTAGTCTTGAACGATCTGAATTCTGATACCGTCAAGAACACAATCACACTTGGGTTAACGGCGGCTCTATAATGAGCTACCCATTAGACGATAGCTTTTGGGTATATCGCTATATACAGGCACGTGCCCAGCCAGAAATCGACGCCGACCTATATTTATGCATTCCATAAACGCCATTTTTGCCTTCCCTCGAAACATTGCCATCAATCTTACGCGAATAGTACATTGTCGCTGAGCGGATCCTTCTCCTTCTTGCGTCCACCGTGCGACGTAAGTCCCAGATCTTGGTGCTTGAGTAGCGTATCCCTCTGCGCATCGGTCCTCCTGTTGAATCTGCCGGCCTTTGATTTCCTCAAGTCGGAACGGATCTGGTTGGGCGAGACGAACTCCTTGTTCTCATAGATGATAGGACCTCCGAAGCTGGACTCCTGGATGATGATGGGGGTAAGTACGAAACGGGGTCCGATCTCGACAAGGCTGACGTCGAATTCGCCGCCCTTCTTCTTCTTAGGCGCCTCGTCGACATCCATCTCCTCGCCGTCGACAGGCTTCTTCTTTCCAGGCTCACTTTCGTTGATTTGAAATACGCGAATCCAGATCTTGCCATCTGCGACTGTGAAGCCCATCACGTGGTCTACAAAAGGCTTGACTTTTCGGCTCGTCTTGGGAACACCGAAAATCTGGGTGAAGAGCTCCTTGATCACGCGCAAATGGGCCTGCTTGTCGAACGCAGCGTCGAAAGAAAGAACTGGCCGCGATCCCTTGAGACAGTTGCCGATGAAGTTGAGCTCTTCCATGGTGTGCAAGTTTTGCAGGTGCATCTTTACAGTAGGACCGTTTGGTGGCTTGGACATCCAGCAGTAGAGATCTTTACCCTTACGGGCTTCGAAAAAGAGAATATTGTTGCAATTGTAGAGTTCTGCCAGTTCATTGAGTTGGTAGAGCTTAGTCTTGGTGTCGAGTTTGGCCTCTTTCCGGCTGTGAGGCCTTTTATGAGATTAGTAAATGATGTTCCGCGGTGCGTAGAATTACTCACATCAACGAGTACAAGTCTTGTAGCAGATGTCGGTGTCGGAAGGTAACACCTCTTGAACTCTACCGTCGATTAGCATGGGTCTCACTTTGCGCCGCGGGTGAAATCTTACCAGAATGAGGACTCGCTGCTTGTTTCTCTTCTCGCCCATCTCCTTCTCGTCTTTCTCCGCGCCGGACAGGGTCTTGTATACGGAAGCCATGGCGAGTTTGTATGGTTGTTGCTGCGCTCGACGGTGTGGATGCGCCTTTGCAAAAAAGTTCGAGAATTGATACCGCCCAGAGTTTTAGCGCGATCTACGCTCGGGCCGCGCTAATACTGAAGAAGCTAGAGCACTTCGCGGCATGGTCGCGCCTTCCGTCACCGTCGTGGTGAGACTTCACCCAATGGGAAGTTGCAGCCCCAACGTTCTGCCCTGTTCATTTTGCGCGGCTGTTGGTATCATTGCGTGCACGAAAGACTGGGTGGGACGAGGCGGCATCCAGGAATCGGATGTATTTGGAGACGAAATGAGATGCGCACGTCCGCAGGTTCCAGAGGCTCGTGGTAGATTAGCCGAAGCTGGCAACGCCTCAACCCGGCACGCGGAGCAGAGAAGAGTTGCAGGTGCTGAGATTGGAAATAAGAAAAGCTTAGGCGTGGACACGCGTGGCAGCAGTGTACGGTGATTCGGAATAGAGAGGAAACAGATAGCCACAAACGAGAAGGAGCTGCACGCTGCACGGCGCCGTTTTCATGCAGGCGAATTATTGGTCGATGCACCCCATCTGGGCGTGTATGCTCCTACGAGAGATGGGGTTCAGGTGCTTTGTTAAGAGGCATGCCCAGTAGCGGAGCAGAGTCGCGATGAAGGTCCCCACGAGTAATGCGGCCATGCCAGACATCCTCATCGCGCTCCGCAGCCTCGTGTGATACATATCTGCTTGCTCGTAGCCGGTCGCAGCCTCTCCATCAAACCTCATCGCGGGTCTGCATCACGCCCGGAGCTGCTCCAGGACATAGTTGCCGCAGCCGCACTAAGCAGACGCTGACTTGCCAACCGTTCGTGTGTGATCTAGACAGCGCGCAAGCTGCTCCACACCAACCCCCATCCCATCTTCCCTCTTCCATCTCATTGTCGCCGTCGCATCCACATCGCGAATCCCAAGACGACCATCTCGAGGCACACGCCCAAGGCGCATTCGTCCTGCCGTCGCCGCCGCGCTCCCTGCGCGCCCCACCGCCAGTGCCTGCATTTAGTTGCCCATGGAGCAGCCGTTTCGCCGTCTCTAGTCTCCCGTACGCGCTGTCCTGATGTTTCGCGATCCGGTCCTGCGGCGGACCGTCGATGATGGGGAGGAGCATTCGCGAGGAGAAAGAAAGCCGCCAGGGCACCAAGGGGAACCTACGCCAGCAGCTTACCACAGATCGCCGACACAGGCAGGCCAACCATACCAACACCATTCGCCAAACACACCAGCGCCCTTGCCTCTCCACCAAAACCTGCACCATCCCCATCCACACCCTCATCCTCCACAACACTCTCCCAACACCACCGAGCTGCCGCCCATCAGCACGGCCCTCTATTCTCGCGACACGTCCAGATACTACGACCCGACCTCTGACAATGGAGAGCGAGGTGTAGCCAGGGACCCGGCGCGTTACGACTCCACTACCAACACCCAATATCCTGCACAGGTACGTCTTTCATCACTACGCCCCCGTCATCCCTATTATACATTGCTTCATCATCGCCATCGTGGCTCCATCCCCAACGCAGGGACACGCGGCTAACATCAACCCTCCCATAGACTCGGTCGGCACAATCCCCCTACGACAAGGTCTATCAGTCACCCGTCACGACCACATACGCTCATCACTCGCCGCTGCAGCGCCCCCATTCGCAACACCAGCACGTCGGCAGTATGGAGGCCATGTCTCACTCTCCCGTGTCGCCCTCGGTCTATCAGTCGATGAACCGAGGAGCCGTACAGCCGCCACCGGACTACGCGAGGAGGCCGTCCTTCAAGGAGGAGGTAAGTAAACGCGCGATCCAGACGCTCCATCACCCCAGCTTACCACTACTATAGGCACCGCCGCAAACGCAAACGCGTGCCGACCCCATGTCACTCTCGAGCATAATGTCCTCCGGCGCCGACAACGAACCTCCTCCCAAGGCTCAGCCACCCCTTCCCCTCGCCGCTGATGCGTATCAGACATCAACACCTCTGCCAACCTCTCACTTTGTCAAGCAAGAAGCAATGCCTTCCCCAGCGCCTGCTGATTTACCCCATCAGGAAAATGGGTATGCTCCGCGAGGATATGATGCAATGCCGCCGGTCGGTACCATACAACCCCCGCTGCAGTCCGCAACTCGCGAATTGCCTGCGCCAGACGAAGCCGAAATTGAGGCAGCCCTGGCACACATCGAGACAAAGCAGATGAGCGACATCGACGAATCAGCCACCCCACGCGATCTCGAAGACTTCAAACAGAGGAGCCAAAAGCGTCTTCTAGAAGTCGGAGCTGCGGAGGCGAATAAGCGCAAGAAGCGACGCACTGCTTTCTTAACACGCTATCAAGACGTGTCCGCTGCCCACCGCGATTACGCAAAGCATTCATACAACGTCGAACACGAGGGCGATGCATGGCAACAAGTTCAGAGCCAGGAGATCGCTGAAGAGAAGGAGCGCAAGAAGGACATGCAGCGCAAGCGAAGGCGGGAGAAGACCATACAGAACGAGGAAGCTAAGCGGGCAGAAGCTTTGGCAAAGGCAGGTCAGGCTGAGAACGAGGAAGAAAAGGAACGACACCTGCTGGCTGCACAGAAGGCCGAGCGCAAGGCCAAGACTACCACTCAGCTTCTGCAAGGTAATGCCCCTAGCAAGGACATCCGCGAGGTCACTCCACATGGACCGAATATGGAGGGAGGTACTATGAGCTCCTTCCAAGCCTCGGATGACCTCGCAGGTGGAAAGCGCAAGGGCAACCGCGGCACCGGGCGTCTTAAGAAGAGCAAGGAGCAAAAGCAGGCCGAAAAGGATGCTGCCGCAGCCGGTCAGGCCGCTATCGACCGTGGAGACGATCTTCCTGTGATCGCGCCGCGCGAGGAAGCACGCCTTGACTCTCTACGCGGCCGTAGCTATACAGAGGACCTTGGCCCTGTTGTCTTGACTTCCTACGACTCGTCCGTATACCGTAACCTCTACCACCAGATCGTCAAAGACTTGGCTCGCAAGGATGTTCCCAAGGTTGTCCGCATCAAGGAGAACTCGTTGTCGACAAAGCAATCGAACCTCCGAAAGACCGCCCAACTGGCCGCGAAGGAGGCTCGCCGATGGCAGATGCGTACAAACAAAAACCAGAAGGACACGCAAGCTAGGGCTAAGCGAGGTATGCGTGAGATGCTTGCTTTCTGGAAGAGAAATGAACGTGATGAGCGCGAATCTCGAAAGAATGCCGAGCGTCAAGAGTTGGAGAATGCGAAGAAGGCTGAAGCCGATCGTGAAGCAAACCGACAGAAGCGGAAGCTGAACTTCCTTATCTCACAGACTGAACTTTACTCTCATTTCATCGGAAAGAAGGCCAGGACAGATGAGATTGAGCGCTCGACCGATGATGCCGACGCTGCTGCAGCTGATCCACAAGCAGCAGCCAAGCCTAGCATCGATGTTGGAGAGATGTCTGCGGAAGGAGGCGCCAAGGTCACCAACTTCGAGGATCTCGACTTCGACAACGAAGATGAGACCGCCCTCAACGCAGCTGCCATGGCGAATGCCCAACATGCTATTCAACAAGCTCAAGACCGTGCCCGCGCCTTCAATAAATCTGGCGACGACGAAGAAGATGGCGAAATGAACTTCCAGAACCCGTCTGGTCTACAGAACAAGGAAGACTGGATTCCCCAACCAGGTCTTCTCAATTGTACGCTCAAGGAGTACCAATTGAAGGGTCTGAACTGGCTCGTAAACTTGTACGAACAAGGTATCAACGGTATTCTTGCTGATGAGATGGGTCTTGGAAAGACAGTCCAATCGATATCGGTCATGGCATATCTTGCTGAGAGATACAATATCTGGGGACCCTTCCTTGTCATCGCGCCCGCATCGACACTTCACAATTGGCAACAGGAAATCACGAGATTTGTGCCAGATCTGAACGTCATCCCCTACTGGGGTACCGCGAAGGACCGGAAGATTCTCCGTAAACTCTGGGATAGAAAGCACGTTACATACACCCGCGACTCTCCCTTCCACGTTGTTGTCTCCTCGTACCAGTTGGTCGTTCAGGATGCACAATACTTCCAGAAGATGCGTTGGCAATACATGATCCTCGACGAGGCTCAAGCCATCAAATCCTCGCAGAGCTCTCGATGGAAGAGTCTACTCGGTTTCCATTCTCGTAACAGGCTACTGCTGACGGGTACACCTATCCAGAACAACATGCAGGAACTTTGGGCTCTTCTTCATTTCATCATGCCCAGCTTGTTCGACTCTCACGACGAATTCAGCGAGTGGTTCTCCAAGGACATTGAGAGTCACGCACAGAGTAACACCAAGCTCAACGAAGATCAACTGCGGCGACTGCATATGATCTTGAAGCCATTCATGTTGCGTCGTGTCAAGAAGCATGTGCAGAAGGAGCTTGGAGACAAGATCGAGCTTGACGTCTACTGCGACCTGACATACCGACAGCGTGCTTACTACGCCAATCTCCGTTCAAAGATCAACATCATGGATCTAGTCGAGAAGGCAGTCGGAGACGAGCAGGATAGTGCAACCCTCATGAACTTGGTCATGCAGTTCAGAAAGGTCTGCAACCACCCCGATCTGTTTGAGCGAGCCGATACCTGGTCACCATTCTCTTTCGCCTCTTTCGCCGAAACTGCCTCTTTCCTACGCGAAGGCCAAAATGTCAGGATAGGATACTCTACACGCAACTTGATCGAGTACCCTTTGCCACGACTTGTGGGCCGTGAGGGTGGCCGGCTAGAGCTTGCTGGACCAGACAACCAGAAGGCTGGCTTCAAGGGACGCTACCTAGACAATCTGATGAATGTATGGAGCCCTGACAACATCGCCCTATCTGCCAAGGAAGCTGGTGCCTTCTCGTGGCTCCGCTTTTCTGACTTGTCCGCCACTGAGGCTTCAAGAATCGCCAAGAGCGGTCTCTTCCAGCGAGCTCTCGCTGCCGAGCAGAAGCCAAACAAGGTTGGCCGTTTTAACGTGTTCTACGACAATGACAACGGCGAATGGGAGCCGAAGCATTCGATGTTGAACATTGTTGATCGCCAGGATCGCGCCCCTCTAGCTGAGATCACAGCCGAGGGACATATGCAGGGTCTCTTCAACGTTGCCAGGACAGCTTTCGAGAAGACAGGCTTGAATGTCATTGAGCCTTGTGCCAAGCCAAAGGCATCTGCGCCTCCAGTCGAGCTGTACTGTGCTAGCCAGGGTGTCATCGCAGAGACCCAGAGCCTCTTCTTCAATGCTCCTATCCGTTCCGCACTCTTCGGTGTTTCGGAGGCGACTGAGCAAGCTCTGCTGGAAAGCAAGAAGGAGAGCTCTAGTTTGACTGTCAGTAACAGGCTACCACCGCCTACCAACGAGCGGACGCGATTCACTCATATCGAAGCACCGTCCATGTCGCGCTTCGTTACCGACTCTGGCAAGCTGGCTCAGCTAGATGCATTGTTGAAGGAGTTGAAGGCAAATGATCATCGCGTGTTGCTGTACTTCCAGATGACTAGGATGATGGATCTGATGGAGGAGTACTTGACGTACAGGAATTACAAGTACTGCCGTCTTGACGGATCCACTAAGCTGGAGGACCGCCGTGATACGGTTGCCGACTTCCAGAGCGACCGTTCCATCTTCGTCTTCCTCCTATCAACCCGTGCTGGTGGTCTCGGTATCAACCTGACATCAGCCGACACAGTCATCTTCTACGACTCGGATTGGAATCCTACCATTGATTCGCAAGCTATGGACCGTGCTCATCGTCTCGGACAAACACGACAGGTCACTGTTTACAGACTGATCACCCGCGGGACTATCGAAGAACGTATCCGCAAGCGTGCCCTCCAGAAGGAAGAAGTGCAGCGCGTCGTTATCTCTGGAGGCGGTGGTGCTGGAGTTGATTTCAACACCCGCTCCAGGGAGAACAGGACCAAGGACATGGCCATGTGGCTCGTCGACGATGACCAGGCTGCCGAGATCGAGAAGAAGGAGGCAGAGTTGGCCGAGCAAGAGAAGAATGCTCCGCCAGGCAAGAAGCGCAGCAAGAAGAAGCAACGGGCGGAGGCTAACCTCGATGACATGTACCACGAGGGTGAGTAATTACGTCGCACTTGATTGAAAACATGTACTGACTAGGAGCAGGCGAAGGACACTTTGACGAGAGCGCAAAGGCAAGTGGTGCCGCTACACCCATCGCACCCACTGAAGCGCCTGCGGGCGGCAAGCGTAAGAAGGGTGGGTTGAGTAAAAAGGCGAAGACAGCTAAGCAGCGCCTTGCTGTCGCTGACGGAGAGGTATAATTTTTGTAACACCACGACGACATATTTCTTTACATGTCTATAATTCGATGCGAAGGCAGTAGCAGGAGTAGTATTACCGATGGGCTACTCGATTATGTTGGTTTTCTTGTAGGGTGTGGGATTCATGTATGTGTACACTATCCGTCTTTCTCTGTGCGCTAGGGTCGATCACTTGAAGGCTAGTATTTACGAGGCCTCTCTGCATAGATTGGGGAGTTGAAAAATTCAAGAGAACACGTTACTGTTATGTCACACGCGGTTGGTTGGTTGGTTTGTTGTGCAATGATGGGACCTCGTTTGACCGAGAACAGCAATACAAGATGAGAGAAGATCTTGACGCTCGGTGCAATTGGCCCTGGGGTGTCAGCAGCTAAATTTCCGCTCGCAAGCAAGCATACCCTCTCAAAAGTCGGCCATGTCATCAACTTGAAAAGCTTTAGATACTAGGTGTATGCGCCCAGGACGCGCAACCAACAAGATTACGTGCAGCTGCAGGTAGCACCAATGTGTGGATGCGGAGGAGTTGCGTATGCTGTATCCGCCGTAACTCGTATTGGGGGAACGGCAGTGGTGCGACGGGGGAGATATTTTGTCCGAATGATGGGCGGAGCAGAGCCGGATGTGTCGGCATTACAGAAGCAATGCCCAAACGATGTGACGACCATCATGTCTTGGAAATATGGGTAGGAGAGTTTGCCAAGGCCGTGAGCAGGATACATCGACATTGCAGCATCATGGACATGTTCAGAGTTGCGCACTCTTGCTTGTCAACATCTGGATTCTTGACGGCACGGAACCGAAAGCAGTAGCGCTACCGCATCAAGGCCTAAAATTAACCTCGTAGATTTGGCTGACAGCGTGACGCTAGGAGAGGATTGATTGGCCTAGAGACTGGGGCTGGTGGCTTGTCGTGCACGTGCCTGAACAACGAACCCTGCATCGTCTTCGCCCCCTTCAACATTCATTGGCCTTGGCGTCTGAGGATCCCTTTTGGATAGCATCTCACTCGGGTCTTCCGTCGTGTTCCCCCTTGGCCCTCCCCGCCTCGTTCGCCCTTCTCGACATTTTCGGTCGCGCTTTCGCAACCGCATCTTCATCTTCCGGCTTCTCTGTTGTTGTCTCTCGTCGCTGCAACTACCTCGGTCGCTTCTGAAGCCACACCGGACGATCTGCTTGCACCGCCGCACCTCCCCCGGCTCACCCGCTACTACCGTGCAACAACACCATCAGCCCGCGCCTTCCTCGTCTTACGCCTCCCCTCGCATTGCCAGCTCGCACCTTCCCACTGGCATGAAGGCATAGTCGACACGAGCCTGCCCGTCTACTGTCGCTCGCTACATTCGTCATCCAGCATCGCATACCATGGGTACGTCGAGCCCCCGGACACCGCCTAGACCCTTGACACTTCGCGTGTCGACGGCATACCACTTGTCAGAAATGGAACACGTCAGGGACTGACAGACATGCAGTTGAGAAGCGCCCCTCAATCGAGGGTCTCGTCGACAATGTCGACCCCCGAGAGTCCCACGAGCTCGAAGAGCTGCCCACTTTCGAGAAACCCGTGACCGAGCCCACGCCAGTATCGCTCAAGGAGAAGCTGATAACATGTTTCTGGATTGCGCTCAATACCCTTTCAACCCTGGGCTTGATTTTTTTGAGCAAGCGGTATGGCAGCACACCTGTTCAGCCATTGTGCGACTTTACTGACAGCCGGATAGAGTCTTCAGCGACAAGCAGCTAAAAGGCTGTCAACTCATGGTCGTCATGTGGCATTTCACAGCCACCGGCCTCGTCCTCTTCATCTCGACCCTCCGACCTTTCCACGCCTTCAAGGCCGTGCGACTGAACGTCTGGAACATGCTGCCCGTCTGCGGCTTCTTCGCCGGATACGTTGTGCTTGGCAACCTTAGCTTGACCTTCAACTCGATCGGATTCTACCAGCTCTCCAAGGTCATGACTACACCGACCGTCGTTCTCATCAACTTCGTTCTCTTCCGAAAGCAGGTTACACGATACATGCTGGCTGCAATCTTGGCCACATGCATTGGTGTTTCCTTCACCATCAACGAGGCTGCCAAGACCCAGCTCTTCGGTGTCATCGTGGCCACACTAGCATTCTGCAGCACTGCTCTGTACCAGATTTGGATTGGCAAGAAGATTGAAGACTTTGCTGTTTCCCCACCTCAGCTTCTGCTCAACCAGGCGCCAATCTCCGTCTGCCTCCTCATTCCCTTCGTCCCGTTCTTCGACACAATCCCGAATCTTTCAACCGTACCCACCGATATCCTCTGGAGCGTTTGCGCCTCTGGTATCATGGCTTCCATGTACAACTTGAGCCAGTTCTTGATCATCGGTCGCACGAGTGCACTCACATTCAACATTGTCAGCCACCTCAAGACTATCATGATCTTGAGTATAGGATGGTACAGCGAAGGCAAGATATTGAGTGGCAGAGAGTGGTTTGGTGTACTTCTCGCGCTTGGTGGTGGCTGGGTGTACTCGCATCTTGCTCTCAAGGCGAAGAAGCAGGGCGGAAAGTAAGCTGCGAGACAAGATGCTATGTTGTCTGTGTATGCGGATCTTTGTGCCGTTTGCGCGACGAGCATTCGTTGGGTTTGGAGCTTCCCTTACATCTTCATCGCTTTTGGCTACGCATTTTTTGGGATTGGGCTCGATAGCAATGCGTAGAATGGGCTAGGCGAGTGATTACGCCTTCTTACAAAAACAACTTGACGACGATAGATTGGCACGGTTCGGACACCAAAGCGCTTTTCTTGACATCCGGTCACTTCTTCTTAGGGGGGTCAGCAGCGGGGAGTTTGGAGACCCATTTTCTATGCTTGTAGCAAGCATCTTTTCTTCCCTAACCATCTGGGGTTTTTCTTGATCATGTTTATCAATACGGCGCTATATACTCCAATGATATAATTCTTAAAGTTCAACAGCTTATCGTATATGGACTTGAGATACCCTAGCTGTTTGGAACAAGTGTGCCTTGCCTTGGCCTTGGAGAAAGACTTGTCGTATGCCTCGTACAGGTGCATTCGTATCGCATTACAACATCGCTACGCAGGTCTTTGTACCCTATCCACATACTGTTGCGGCCGACAAACCGACACCCAAACATTCGGAAATAACCACAGCCACATGTCCCCAGCTACTCGAGCCATCGAACCCATAATAATGTTCTTCGCGCCTTCCACCGGTAAAAGGCGTTAACCTGTTCCAGCCACGCGAACCACAATTTTCGGGCCGAGAGATGAAGATCGCAATCCACGTGATGTTGTCTGCACAGCCGCACTCGGCTTCCCACTCAGCCCTGCGCGCTCGATTACTTCCTCTTCGGGTAAATAGGGACCGGCGATCTGGTGAGCCTTATGAGCCTTATGCGAGTTGGCGAATCAAAGCAGCTGCGACAGATGAAGTGGGCAAGACACGCTCGCATCAATCGGGTAGTGGTACAACGCTTCGAACGGGCTGTGAATTCAGGCCGCCGGTCACGTTGTGGGCTTAGGCTGATGTTAGAGAGAGAAAAAGGTGGATTGCGACTGGATACCTCGCTTCGTCAGACCCAGATGGGAGTAGGAGATATGACGATTGTGGATGCTGTGTTTGGGGGGCCTGATGACTTGTGCCTAGTTCTGCGCATTCTGTAAGGCAGACTTTGGCTGCTTGCAGATGATGTGCGCATGATTATGGTTGGGTGAGATGGGAGTCGTGGTAGGTATATAGGGTTTGTGGTGTCCTGTGGTTCAGGGAGATATCATTATCATCATCCTCGTCACGAAACCGGTTCTTACAAGGTCATACCAACACTTTCTCATATTGTAAAGTGTCTGCGATACTTTCATCAACGTCGCATACGCATCATCGTCGAATACAAATCTCGAAAACCTACGTATCTTACACATCTACACCACACGTATCCAACTGTCAGATACGTGTAATCAGCGACAGTTTCGCATAATCCAACAAATCTACACACATCAACGAACTATCGCAAAAATGGGCTGCGGCATGTCCAAATCACCTTCTGAATACCCTCCTCCGATGCGCCAAACAAAACGTAACAAGCGCCGTCACGGCGGCGGTGGTACTTATGGTGGAGGTCACGGTGCATACGCAGCAGGATACGGAGGCGGCGGTGGTTTCTTCAGTGGAGGAGATGGTGGAGGTGGTTTCTCCGGCGGAGATGGTGGATGCGGAGGAGGTGGTGGAGGAGATGGAGGCGGCGGCGGCGGTGGTGGTGGTTGTTAGACGACAGGATGGGGTAATCTGGGATTGGCGTTTTTTGGTATACCATTTGGGCATTTGGTAGCATGGATTTACGATTATGATAGGAGTTTGGTGGTTGGGTAGACCTGGGCTTATTTTCTACACGTCGTTTCTCAATACGAAGGCCATCCACATTTTATATTATGCACCTCTTTGAACGCATCGTAAGTGAGGCGTATAAAGTGCTGTAGCAAGTACATCTATAGGTGCAGCTTGTTAAGGAGGTGGTGAATTCGGGAGTATACATGCCCACGCCAAGTCCATCCCTTTGCGTGTTCAGTTGTTTCTTGATCGTTTACATTTGACATGCTACGTGAGTGTGTGTGCGATAGTGAGGTTGACAAGGACACCTATCGATGAAAATTCAAATGTATCAGGGGCCACGAAAATGTTTATCAAAAAACACATTTTCATTCTCGAAAAACGACCCGGTCTCACATACTTCGTCCCGAAGGAAGGGACCAGAGTCTTACCAACACGGATGCCCAGAACCAACATGCATCCGATGAACAGTTCCAGGTCTCTAGTTCTCATTGAGCCAGCACTAACCCTTCACCTTCTCCTGCTCATTATCTACGTAGTCTTCCTCCTGCCCATCGTAGCACTCCAATTCATCGTCGATATCTTCTGCTGATGCTCTACTCGACTTTTTGTGTTTCTTTTCCTTTGCCATCCTGGCTCGTCTCAAGCTACTTGCTGTACCTGCTTGCAGATCTTCTTCAATATCTTCTGCTATTTCTCTAGTGGATCTGGTCTGTTTCCTTTGTTTCGCACCCGTTCCATCTCTCCAGCTGGATCCTTCTATAGACCCTTTTGTCTCGATCGAAACACGTGCCACATGTTTCTGAGCCTCATCAGCGACTCGCTCGGTCTGTTTTCTTTCATTTGCACCGCTATCGTCTTTTGAGCTACTCTCTCTACTCGTATCGAGGGTCTCAGCCTCCTCTTCTAGTCGTGTCTGTCCTGCCTCTACCTTTGGGGATTTAGGTTCCGGATCGATTGTTGCGAGGTCTTGCTCGCGGTCAATTCCTGGAGCAGGCTCACTGTCGGCCGGATGCTTTGATTCGCGCGACTTGAGGTCGTCATCAGAAAAGAACTGTTCGCGGTAGGACGGTAGATTTGGGAGATCAAAGTTATGGAACTGGTTTTCGCCCCAGCTTACCCTGGACTTTCCTCTGCTTGATACGTCGTTGTTGTGTCTAGTCTCCACGACAGAATCTGCTACTGGTGATGCACTATGCACAGAAGCCGTAGGACTTCCGGGAGGCGTAGGTAAGATGAGATTCAGCGACGGTGTATGTTGTGGTTGCGGTGAAGCTGTTCGAAGATCCCTGGTGTACATCGATGGATCTGGAACAGTAGCTTGGTTGTTTGTTGAGAGCGTCGCCGTCCAATTGGACTTATCATCCTTGTTCTCTACCAAACCCTCAGACTCCAGCTTGTCGAGCACTGGTCGAAGCTCTGCGACTGGGGTATCAAAAGTAGTTGCGAGATTCGATATGTTTTCGATTAATCCAGGCAGGCTTTTCAAGTAAGACAGCGCGCGTTCGGATAGGTCGCTTGATGAATTCTCATCCGGGGTCAACTTTTCAGTGTCTCGCATGGCGTCTCTTTCCCCTCTCACTCGTATCTCGACTGCCTTTTGCTCGCCCAAGTCGGTCAGAATCCACGTGTGTTCATCAGGTCCACTGGCGATGTATCTGTCCTGTGCTAATCGATGTATCATCGTCAGAATTCTTGAAGAAGGAGCTTGAAGTTCGAGGGCAAGATCCTTAAGAGATAGCCCTTGGCCTTTACGACTCAAGCATAATACTATTTGATCAATTGGAGTTAGAGTAAGCGGACTGGCTGAAGTGGATAGGTAATCATCGCTTAGAAGCTCTTTCGGCGCGAAGAAGTCAGCTTGAGAGACTGGCTCGGCAGAGTACCTGTCCTCCCAGTCTTGTAAGACGTCGCGATCTTGTTGGCGAGGCTTGAAGATGTTGGGGTCGAAGATTTCAATCTCGGGTTCTGGTGGTTGGGGCTCTTGTTCAATCGGAGGAAGCTCCTTAGCCTCTTCCGAGATAACCCAGGTATCGTCATTGATAGTGTTGTGCACGCGTCCATGTGCAGCAAGGGTGTGCAATACCGTGTTGACCACACCAACCTCAATATCAGCTGCGTCAGCAATCATGTTGGTGGTTTGCCCTATGTAGGAGCCACTTCGTGTCCTTAGATCAAGGGAAAGATATGCCAGAATCTTTTCGGACTCTATGTCCTCTTCTAAAGTCGGTTTCATATCATCTGGTTCACTGCCTGAGCTGGACGCGACATCTTTCGAGACATGAGCGGAAGGCTGCAGGCCCTTGTCCCGCTTATTGAGGTAGTCTTTGTCGGTTTCGTCTCCGATTGTCCAAAGCGTTGCCAGATCTCTCTGGGTCTTGTTGTTACGCTTGACAAGCCGTTTAAGAGCGTCGAACAGCGCTGGATCTAGTGCGTCGAGAAAATGCCATCGTTCCATCATTCGAGTCAACTTCACTCCCTGTGTTCCTTTCCCTTCCATCTCTCCCCGTTTTACCACAAACAAAGACGTTGCATGTGGAGGTAGACGCACAGCGGAAGCATCTGGACCTTGGAAAATTTGGAGGGAAGGCAGTGGGTGGTTCGGGTGGCCATGCTGCAACATCCAGTGGTGGTACGCCAGCGCTTGCTGATAGTCTGCGGCTCTAGCCTGCGCCTGCTGATTAGAGTAGTTCAATGTAGCGCCTCGCGTCAAAGATGAATTTGCGCCAGCGAGATCTATTGTCGCATACGGATTGCCTTCAGAATAATAACCTGCACGATATAGCTCGATCTTGCTCTGATAGATATAGAGAATGGAGGGCACCCAATCCTCCAATGTCAACGGAGCAAGGACTGATGCATGGACTACCGCAGGTGGCTCTGTAATTGACGCAGTGGAGCCCTCAGCTTCAATTGCGAAATGGTGTGATGCATTCTCATCTTCATGAGCTGGGTCCTCTGATTTTGCCTCGCGAGGTGTGACTGTCTGGAAGAACGGATATCCGAGGCCACTTTCCATCTGTGTGCTTTGCGTAGCGCTTTGCGCGATAGTCGAGAGCAAAAGCATGGAGCTAGGCAAACGATCCGCTGGTACCTCCAATTTGTATCTATCTCTTCTGGCATGGACGTTTGCATGTGGAGACATTTCCACACGCTGCCATATATCTTCTCCAAGACGGTAGCCCTGTTGGCAGAGTTCATGGCGCCTCTCATACAATCCATTATGACACGTATCACAGTCATCAACATGCGATTCGAATTGGAAAAAGGCATGTTCTTCGCTTTTATCCATGGGGCGGGACTCGTGGGTCCACATCTGCGTCTGTTGAATGATTTGTCGGTAACGCATCTGTCTAACTTCCTCATTGACCTCCGACAGCTTCCGCAAGTCAGATGAGGCAGGAAGAATTGTAGCAGATGGGTTTGATGAAGACGAGTCTTCTCGGGTCTCATCAGTTTGTCGAACAGACGCTGGAAGTGAGGTATCTTGTGCAAATCTTCCTCGTATCTCGTGTTTTCTCTCTTCTCGCTCAGCTTCTTTTCGCATGTGGTCATCTATGGTCATCGCTGCCTGGTGTTGAGCGGAGGTCTGCTCCTCGCGTTGTGATGCATCGGAAACCCTGCGTTTCGGCGGCGGAAAGTAGACCGGCAGAAGGCTCTTGTAGACGAACTCGTCATTGGAGGAAAAGACCACGAAGATGATCTTGTCGAGACCATTAGCCCGTTCTGCGGATTCAAGGAATCGTTTCACTTCCTCCATGGCTAATGATGCGCAGTCACGTCGCGGATAATTCAGCATACCAGTTCCAATGCTGGGTATCGCGACGGATCTCGCCCTCAGTTCCACGGCAGTGTGTAGAATCTCCCGGTAGATGCCTCTCAAGATCGTCTTGGTATCCTTTCTGAATTGACCAGGCGGGACGACATGAACAACGTGCTTGGCTGGTAGGAGGAAAGGAGGAGTTACTTTGACGTCACCTTCTTTGCATGGTCCGATCTGCTCAGCTTCGACTTCCCAACGTAGTCCCGGCCCACCTTTCTTGAAAACCGTGCGATCCAAGGTACCCATGCCGGAAAAGGAAACGTCAGTAGAGTTGACCAAAACGTCGACTGCAAGTCTGGTGATGTCTTCTCTTAGCAAGCAGACAGTATGGTTGAATGAAGTGGACGGTTGCGCCATCGTTGGCTTGGCCTCAAGGTCGCCAAGTAGATAGAGCCGCGCAACGGAAGGTATCTGATGAACTTGGATGATTTCCCGATTGTTCGAGATAGGTGCTTCGGATTTGCGCACATGTATGACTTCGTCCAAATGATCGCGGATACCTTTCGCATCTTGACTTTTCTGTTTGACAGCGTAGTTCTCCAAGACTTGCCGTGCTCTTGCCATCGAATCCGGTTCCTTCCTATCGCCTCCTATGACGCCATCTAAGCTGTTCGCAAACATCCAGCAATAGTCGAAGAGAGTCGAAAGATCGAATCCATGGCTGGCTTGCATACCAGTGTTGGCTTCGTCCCAGAAATTTTGCTCCTCCTTGGTGAAGCCTACTTCTTTCGCTCGTTCTGCGATCTCCGATATGGTACTACATGCGGTTGAAATGACAGAGCACAGTAGATTGAGATCTCCAAGACTCCGCTTAAGCTCCCTTGATCCCAAAAGATAGTTGCGCATGGACAACAGCGCAAAATCGATCCTCCCCATATCATGGGCACATGCGTTAGTCTCAGCAGTCTGCGATCTAAAAACGTAGGTATCGGACATGTCAGTTAAGGCCTTTTGAAGCTGTGAACGTGCCTCTAGTATTTGAGCCGATAACGCGGCGCGATTCGCTGACCAGTCCAATGTTCTCGCTCTGTCGAGATCTCCATGCGTAGGTGGAAAGAAGACCGGTAAGAAGTCTGTGTACGCCTTCTCATCGATCGCTGCTTTTACGCAAAAGATAATTCGCTCGGGGCGATGCTCAGGATGTGCGTCCAGATATTCTCTGATCTCTTGCAGCGCTATGCGTGCAGCAACACGTGGCGGAAACATGCAACCTCCAGTGCCTAGGCAAGGAAAAGCGATCGTCTTGAGTTCGTAAGTAGCAGCTGTTTTCAGAGCCTCACGATAGCACGCGCTCAAAATGTTGAATTGACCGACACCTTTGGAACCGGTATATGTTGGCGCTGCAGCATGTATCACCCACGAAGCCGGAAGATCGTGTCCATGAGTGAGCTCGACCTGACCCGCCTTGACTCTAGGCTTTGATCTTGCCTCATTTCTGAGACCTGATCCACCTCTTTGGTATATAACATAATGCAACGATTTTGGATCAGGTTGGGCCTTGAAGTTAGATGGAGCATTATTGACGATGGCATCTACTCTCAGCCTTGTCAGATCGTAATGACAGAACGAGATCATCTGGTTATAGGCATCGTTTGGCGCAAAGCTCTGATCGCGCTGCAACAGCCGCCGAGATTGGTACAGGGAACGCAATGTGGGGATGTCGGCTGTCGAGATGATTGCTTGTTTTTCTGAATCTTCAGCTTCTTGGTCGTACAGCTCAGATCCAGTTGAAAATGTCTCAGCATCTTCGGTAGCCTGTGTATCCGCCGTTGACTGGCGATTCAATGTATGCTCTTTTTCTGTAGGAGTAATATTGTCAGTATGCTCAAACAGTTACAAGCGGCCTAGTCACCATTCATTCATTCACTTACTATTTGGTGGGTTGATCCTGGTGAAATTCCACTTGGTCGTGTCCTTTTTGGGTTTGAAATCCATGTTGGGGAAACGCTGAGTATCGAAGACCTTCAGCGCCTCCTCACCAACCCAATCATCAGCGAAAGTTATCGAGCCACGCCAGGAACCATAGCGTCGATAGAATCGAACGGACAAGGCCCCTGGAAGGGTCAGGACATGTTGTCTGAATGCTTCCACATGGTCTAGGTGTTTCTTGTGTGAAAGCGATACGTCTTCGTCAACCTGCTGATCATCAGATTGCTCATCTTCCGAATCCTCCAGATCATTCGATTGGCTTGCGATCATCGCTAACCGATTATGACTCTCGTCGGGAAGTTGCTGCAATCTCTCTGCGGACAGTAAACTCTGACCAGGCTCGTTTACATGACGGACCTCAGAAGAATTCTCCAATTTTATATCTTCTAGCTCGATTTTGTCTGTGCTTGTGTCTGTGCGGACTGAGTCGGGCAGAGACTGAGAGTTGGAAGTCCCACGGCTTGCGACGCTGCTTGCCCCGTCCGCGTCGTCTTCCCTCCCGTGAGGCAGTGCGAAGGTAGCGAAGCGTTCCAGATGGTTTGCGATGTGGCTCTGTAAATCATCTAGACCGGCAGTATCTGTGGGTACATAACAGATCGGACACTTGGTGCGTGTATCCATCGCTGTCGTCTCCCCGATTTTGGCGATGACTGTTATCTGATCTTCAGGGAAGTTGCCATTATGGTCTTGTCGAAGATGGTTCTCAAGACCAGAAACAGAGCTAAACAAGGCCGCTGCGTGTTCTGGACATCGCCACAGTTTACGATGAGTCGCTTCGTGTTCGGCCCACTCCCGGCGACTACGGAAGAGCTGTTGAGAGCTCTCGCAGTCCTGGTATGTACAGATATATGGCTGCAGATCTTGTAGCAGATGCGTCTTCCAAGCTCGTCCTTTGCCATATCTTGCAGGGCAAACGATCCAACAATATGGACACTCGAAGTCTTTGTCGCCGCTGGCAGCTTTGGGCGGAGGCGGTAATTCAATGCCTTTCCCGTGCAGATCCCTCACTGTCACAGCGTAGCTTGTCACCGACTTGGTATCCACTATGTCATCTAGAGACTGATGATGGTGTGTCGCTTCCGTGCCTGACAAGAGAGTCTTGCCGGTCTTCTGGCTTGGCGTCGGTCTCGAGGTGGTGATCATCGGGGTTGTTGGAAAGGCTTCGAGGTTGTCATTACGGGTTGTGTTAGGTGCCTCACGTGAAGCAGGTACGACAGGCTCCGGTGCCTCTTCAGGAATTGCGGAAGCGCCAAGTTTGTCACGATGTCGCTTCCAGTACTTGAAGTGCCGCCTACGTAGCGTGATAGAGGAGCTTAGCCTCTCAACCAGAGAGGCTTGTTCTTCTTGAGCCCCCGAAGGATGCTGTTTTCGTAATTGCAGGAGTAGCTCCTGAACATGCTTTCTGTCCAACTCAGCATAAGCATCAAGGATATCCACTCCGGTCTCTGGATCTTTTGGCATATAAGAGGAAGCTTTAAGTGATCTTGAGTGTATGCTAGGCGTTCTGATGCGTACGCTAAGCTTGTAGAGATTGTCGATGATGTCAACCACCTCCTCAAACCTCATCTTCAACTCGCTCCTAGGTCCATCACTATCACTGTCGTCTTCTTCGCTGAAGAACCCATCGTCGTTTTCATCTTCCTCAACTTCTTCCGTCGATGTTTGCGCCTCGAAAGGTAGACGAGCTCCGGATATGACTGCGAAGGTCTCATTGAGGTTGTGCTTGAGCTCATTCAGAAGCTTGAGTGCACTGCTAAGCAGATTCGGGGAGTCGCGTAGCCTGTAGTCTAGCGAGCTGTGACCTTTCTGCAGCGCACCCAGATTACCAGCCCATACTCTGAACCTTCCGATCTCGTCCTCGAGCACATCGCCGTCTACTTCTTCCGTAGACTTACTGTCGCTTGCACTAAGAGCATCGGTCAAAATTTGGAAAGCGCGTATGTTAGCAGCTGTTGCGAGCCTAAGGGTCGACATTATGGAAGCTTAGCATGCCGAGGACGGAAGCGAGCGGGGACTTGCGGCTCTGAGGGGTCTCAGACATCGGAGTAGAAAGGTGTCGTGAACCCAGACAGTCGAGTCGTATAAGCTGGTAGATGTTCTTTGTTCATTCTGGTCCGCAACGAGATGGCATTTGGCTAGTAAGCGCCTGTGCCATTGTGCAGCCTAATGACTGCATGGGGTGAGGCGATGCTAGGTTCTTTCCAGATTGGTGGGGGGCGCAGTTCAGGCGCCTCGCAGACAGCCGCACCTTCTCGCAACCTCGTGTCCTTCGCAAATCAACAGATTCGCGCGTCCCATTCACTCTCCCTCGCAAAAGGATGGTTCTCTCATAGCTAATAGTTGTGACTCATTTGCATCTCTTCGTGTGTCTACCGTGAGGTCCAGTCCAGAGATTCAGACTCGAACCCCGCTCGGCGTTCGTTTCTTCCACCATTCGCCAATGACGCGCAACATCGACCTTTATCCCGAATCCTAAGTTGAAAGCTACAATGAGCGGAATCGAGGTAGCTGGCCTTGTACTTGGCGCTTTGCCGCTGATTATTCAAGGTATGTAATGTTTTCATCTCGACCAACAATCAGTAAATTGCTTACTAATTTATTTTCTTAGGAATCGATAGCTACAGAGAAGGACTTAGTACTTTGAGGAGCATGTGGGATCGAGACATTGAGTATCCTGCCCTTCTCAGGAAACTCAGGGCCCAGTACGATCACTACGAGCTGACAATCCGGATACTTTTCGGCTCCATTACCTCTGAAGCTGAATGGACAAAAATGACCACTGATCCCATGGCATCTCGGGGATTGTGGAAGAGCAAGGAAACGGCGCTTCAAGACAAGCTTCAAAACGCTTACAACTCGTATCAAAGTATCATGGCGGAGATCGAACAAATCACGAAGAGCATCGCGAGTAGACTAGATTTGGACGGTGCAGCCGAGGTAAATACATATGGTATGTTCAGTGCATCATTGACTGACGCCGTTTGTAGCTTACTCGTAATAATCTCGACACGTTGCTTGCCGCGAACCCTAAGAAGTCCAACGACAAATTCGAATTCCGCAAGCGTGTTCGTTTTGGTATGAGCAAGAAGAAGTTAAGCGCACTTCTGGAGAAGCTTGATGAGTGCAACAGGCAGCTCGAGAGGTTCACGGAAAAGAGTGAAAAGATCGAAACCTACCATAGACCGAGCAAGCCTTCGTATGCTACACGCTTGCAGAAGCTGCAGCGCTATGCCAAGATTCTACACGACGCACTTTGTGTGTGCTGGTCATGCTCATGCAAGTCTTCCCATACAGCAAGTCTCCAACTCGACCCTCGCGGAGACATATTTGCGCCGAAGTTTCGGGAGGCGCTCCGCAATAACAAGACAAGTTTCAATATCTCTTTTTCGACCATTTCGCCTGACAGCAGTGGCGTCTCGTGGACTTTTCAAGCCGCTAGGATCTGCGTCGACGAGGAGGACGATGCCTGTCTTTCACCGATGGCCTCCCCCAAACCGAATAGGATGCAAAGGAATGTCAGCTTCGGATCGCTTCCTCCTTACGCAGTTCAAGATCCAGCGACCACTTCACCACCTTCATATGAGGAGGTCAAAGACCTTTGCGCATCTATTCAACAACTCTATAAGAAGTCCCCGACCATCGGCTTCTCGTTAGACAGTAAAAGCAAACTACGAGGGGCTTACTCGGTCGACACAGCAGAAGCACAGATTCCTAGTACAGAACTGATATCTCTGGAGACACTGCTAGAGAGGCCACCGGTCATCAACGGAAAACGCTCTAAGTTGAGCAGAAAAGAGAGATATAGCCTAGCGTTGACATTAGCGTCCAGTATACTCTACCTTAACTCAACACCCTGGCTTGCCAACGAATGGGCTGCGCGAGACATTCTTTTCCACCGAACGTCAGATACCACGTGTCCGATCGATCTCGATCGCGCATACCTCGCTCCGAATGTAGCTGACCGTTCTGAAAACGGATCAAAAAGCTACAAGCCAATGATTTTGAAGAACAATTTCTTGCTCGCTTTAGCCGTAGCATTGCTCGAGCTTTACTTTGGGACGACTGCTGAAAAATACCACCAGTCGGAGTTTGAAAACGAAACTGGTGACGCTTCAGCAGATCAGAAATACAACCTCCTTACGTTGGTACATAACTGGATACAAAGCGAAGCTGGGGAACTGTCTGCTGCTTATCAAAGTGCAGTCAGTTATTGTATGAAAGAGTCTGTCGATCCCACGGTTAATTTACAGGACACCAACTGCCTACAAGCTGCAGTTGAGAATATCGTACTACCGTTGCAGGAGGAGCTAAACCAGTTCTTGGGCAAGACTTTGGCCTAATGTTACAGGTTTTCAGCACAAGACTAGAGCAGTTCCAACACAGCATCGGTTTGCAAGATTCAGTCTACGATGCTGGAGACGTGTAGAACAAGAAGAGGAATAACCAAGAAAATGCGCCCAACCTGTCAGCACGGCGTTTTCCGATCATGTTTGCATGGCGAGACTAAACCACCAAAATGCTCAAGGTCCAACAACAGACCATAAGAACTATGGTCGCCACGCGACCAAATGATACACAACATCCAGCTGAAGTTTCAATAACAATACTCGAGCGAAAGACTAGAAGAAACAAACCACGGCCGCGCCTCAACGCTACAGTACCGGGTCGGGACGAAGGGCGCTTACTCAACGCACATCACCTCGTATCTGACCCACGCGCCAGGCAATACGACGTGCGACTCTGGGGTAAACCAAGCCAGGCTAGTGCAGCAAATCTCCGAAGTCAAACTGAACGTCGAGCGATGGGGTCGTAATGAGGACATGAGTGTTACTCCACAATAGCCACATCGGTTACCATGCGATGTGGCGAGAGAGTTGCGCGGCGGCTAAAAATATCAGCAAACAGCCTTGCAACACCCCGCACCCCGCCGGCTCTCACCACATCACACAACCCACAAACGCCTGTTCCCGGATGCGCGGCAATATCGTGATCCGAGAGGGCGCAACACGAAGCTTTACTAGTGGAGGGACACGCACTTGGCGAGGTACAAAGTTCAAGGACAAGCTCTGTAGAAGATGACGGAAGCTTAGGGCGAGTCGCAATTGGTGCTACGGATCAGATAGTTGATCGGAACTGCCCGCCATGTTAATATGAAACATACCCAAGGTCATAGCAATTAACTCTGGTTTGCTGCACACCATGCATGGTCGTCAACGTTACGCGGGCGATACGTGCTTGCCGACTATCGGTCTACGTCATGAAGACAGGCAGCTGTGCTGACCGCATCATGGACCAAGATTAGGCATAACCCTTTAGGAGATTATGGCGGAAATTGAAGATCTGGTGCAGGACTAGCGGGGGATACGCATTATCTCTGTCGAAGGATTCCATAGCTGAAGATTGGAGATGGACGATGTAATCACGAAACAGAAACGCGCGCGCGCGCGTCAAGCTACTGATGGTGTTGTCAGGGAATTGCTTGTGTACGTGGCAGAAGTATTGAATAGATACGTTGTGTTTGAGGAAATATGCCGCACATGTGTCGGATTGTTTTTGCTAAGACGAGGTAAGAGCATAAAAGTGGCACGTTTCGTTTTACACCGCCTTGAGGGCGCCATAGATGCAGAGGCAGCTCCTAAGTTCCAACGGGGTAGGGAGCGGTAGAAGCTAAGGCAAGCGAAGCCACCCGGTAGAGCCCCTCGTTGGCGCGCACGACGCCGCCGAAGCCTGAAACAGGCCCACGGTTGGACGAACGGCGCCGATGTGAGGCGGCGAAAATAGGCCGCATGGGGGTCGGCTAGGGAGTGAATTGGCCACGGCAAAAGCGAACAGGTATTGCGCGACCAAATGGGGATACTGTTGGTTAAGTAGAAGGAAAGTCAGTGTGATGTGGGTGGCAATGGCGATACATAGGGGTGCTAAGAGGCTATTAATAAACGCCAATGGCCGGGGGGTCAGTTCAAGTTGGCTCCGTGGTCGAGGGAGAGGGGGGTGTTAGAGTGGAGAGATTGAGGAGGGAGTAGATAGGTCGCGGTTGCCCAGAGGCCGGCGTGAGTGGTTGCAGGTCTTTGTTATGCAGCCGACGAACCATAACAACAACACGACTGGTACCATAATAATTGCGGGCGCCGGCCACGACAAGCTCTCGAGCGCATTCACCCTGAGGCTGTCACCTGCTCCTCGTCCTTGTCCTGAAGCAGTGGGCCAGCATTGCGCATTCAACGCTCGTCAATCTGTCTAGGGCCATCCCGGTCGTGCTTTAGTCTTGGCGCGTCGGCACCCCTTAACGTCACCTGGAATCCGTTTTCTCGATTCCCAATCCAAGCTCCTGCCAACGCTTACCAAACCACAAGACTCGACCCAGACCGCTGCTCCTAGCGACAAGCACTCGACACTCGCTGAGTCCCGGAACACCGCCCACAGGTTGACAGCGCAGAGCGCACCCATACGCTCTTTTCGCTGTTCCGCTCCCCCAAGACTTGTCGACACCATGGCACAACAGTACGACACCCCGGCCTCACATGCCTCACACGCCTCCCTTGCGCCGCCCCCCGCGCACACAACCACCACCACATTGGCAGCCATGGCTAACATTTGCCCAGAATAACTTCGTCCTTGAAGGACTTCTGGCACACCATGACCTCGTACGACCGCCACGCCTCGCACGACTCGCCGTACCGCACCGGCCGTCACATCCCCATTCCCCAGAGCCGCCACGCTGCCCTCACCTCCATCACGGCGAGCGGCGCCGAGTCCCGCGCCGACCTGCACTCGCCCTACCAGCACGACGAGCTCGCGACCAGCAATGGCTTCATCGGCTCCCCCCAAGGCCCCATGTCTCCCAGCTCCCCCTACTCGCCTGGAATGCGTGGCTCCCTGAGCCGCCAGGCCACCATGGACTCGGACACGTTCGACAAGGGCGCCAATGGCCAGATCCAGATGCAGGACTTCAACGAGGGCCTGCCCCCGCCACC